TTGTAGTTCATTAACTGTGGCGAAAGTGCGTGTTCTGCAGACATCAGCTGATTTGCTTGCTTGTAAACCTCCAGCTCTGCTAGAGAGTGCTTCACTGAGGCGTTAGCATAGATTCTGTGCCCTTTCCCCCAGCTTGCACGTGGTTGGCAGGCTGTTGTAAATGGTGATAGGTTCTTGCACAAGTCACCTAACAACCCTGGTAAAATAATATCCTGATATTATTGATATTATCCTGATTATTGATATTATCCTGATACATCCATCTGCAGTAGTATTTATTCCTGTGTGCTTTTGCTTTCTAGCAAGTCGAGGAACTGAGAGGACAGTGGTGATGGATAAATCTAAAGGAGAACCCGTTATTAGCGTGAAAACATCTGCTTCCAAAGAGAGGGTAAGCAGGGCTTCGTGGACACTTCTCTGTAAGAGCAGGTGTGAATGACCCTACTGTGTGAGGGCTGCAGGGTGTCCTGATCCTGCCTGTGTGAGGGCTGCAGGGAGTTCTGCCTCCTGTGTGGGGAACTGTTGACCTGTGGCAGCGTTTTAGGAAGCGTTAAGGAGTCAATTGCGCTGTGAAGGTAAATGCTGGTGCTTCACCTCGCAGTCGTGCTGCTGGAGCTGAGGAAGTAGGAATGTAATTTGACAGTGGTGTTAAGATGATCCGTCTGCAGTGTGGTGCCCCGTGACCTTTGCAGTGCTATCACTTACCAGCAGCACCAGGCAGGCCATGTGCCTCCAGTATTTCTGTGCTCTTACACTCACCAGAAGCTCTGGCCAAATTCTGGGCGCTTCTCCCCGACTCCTGTGTGTGATTCCACGCCGTTCACCTCCAGGAGGGCGGCAGCGTTCTGAGTCGAAACCAAGCGGGTGTTTTGCTTGGGAGTCATGGCTGGAAGCATTCAGCTAAACGTCATTCTTTGATTTGCCTCAGAGCACGAAGAGCCAGGACCGCAAATCTGAGAGCAAGGAGAAGCAGGACATCTTGTCGTTCGATAAAATCAAAGAGCAGCGCGAGCGCGAGCGGCAGCGGCAGAGAGAGCGCGAGATCCGGGAGACGGAGCGGCGGCGGTGAGTGCCAGGCTCTGCTCTGCAGCCCCAGCTGTGCTGCAGCCGGGTTCCCTGTGGGCCTTTCCACGATGGCAGCTCGGCTCGCTCTGATGCTGAGCTGCTGTGCAGAGCTGGGGAGGCTTTTCTGTACCCAAACCGGCCATCGCTAAGCTTGTGCTTCTGAGAGGCTGCTGTGGGCAATGGCTTCTGTGGGCACCCCCAGCTCACGCGTTGTGCTGAGGCAGAGCTGAATGCTCCTCATGCTTGTGTTCTGCCTGAAAGTTTTGACATGTCTCCTAAATCCTTCAGTTGTTGGAGCTCTGTGCTGCCACGCTGTGCTCTACCAAAACTTTCTTGGCCCATCTTAGAGCGGGTGCTGCCTTACTGATGTGGAATGCTTAACTCCCTTTGGGCTCCTATTAAGCAGCTTTGGTTGGGTTGAGAAGAGACCGTTTGTATTTAATCCTACAGTGAGAAAAACATAACTTCTGTTTTGAAAGGTGAACTAATAGGAGCACCAAAAATGAGCAATAAAGCCTCGATTGGAGATAATTGACTGAAAAACAAATGTCTCCTTTTCAATTAGAGAGAGAGAAAGGCGAGAGCGAGAGCAGCGCCTTCAGGCCATGCACGAGAGGGACGAAAGGCAGAGGCTGCAGAGGGAGAGGGAGAGACTCGAATTTCAAAGGCAGCGTCTGGACAGAGAGCGCTTGGAGAGGGAGAGATTGGAGAGGGAAAGGATGCACATCGAGCAGGAGAGGAGGAGAGAGCAGGAACGGATCCAGAGGGAGAGGGAGGAGCTGCGGCGCCAGCAGGAGCAGCTGCGCTACGAGCAGGAGCGGCGCTCAGCGATGAGGAGGCCCTACGATGATGGCAGGTAACTGCAGTGGGACACCAGGCTCTGGCCACGTCTGCCTGCAGGTGCGCTGTTCTGGAGGATGCAGGAGAGCGGTGTGAGGTGTGCTGGAGGAGTTTAGGTTGGAAATGAAGCAGAATTTCTTTGTGAAGAGGGTGGTCAGTGGTCAGGTGTTGGAACGGCTGCCCAGGGTGGAGTCCCCGTCCCTGTGGGTATTTGGGACGTGTGGGAATGGCACTGGGGGACGTGGCTCAGTGATGCGCCCGTTGGGTTGTGCTGATGGTTGCACTGCATCTTGAAGATCTTCAGCTTTGGATGGTTCTGGGAATCTAAACTGTAAAGCTGGGGGGCCAGCAGGAGGGGCTTGTTCTCATGTCTCCCCCTGCTGAGGGTCTGCTTTTTGGGGTGGTGTGCTGAGACCTCAATTACAAATCAGAAATAACTCTAAAATGGTGGGATTGCGTGCGGTTTGATCCCAAGCTCTCACTCGAGATGAAGAAAGGAGCTCCGTACGAGGTTGGCTTCCTTCCTTGCAGGCGAGATGATCCGTACTGGCCAGAGGCGAAGCGGGTGGTGCTGGACGACAGATACCACTCTGAGTTTGTGCGCCAGGACCGCTTCCACGACTTCGACCACAGGGATCGCGGCCGGTACCAGGATCATTCCTTGGACAGGTCAGCACGAGGCACAGGTTCTTCTCCCCGTACCCTGAAGGAAACTCGGTGTCTTTCTGCCTCACTCGTGGGTTGAGCAGTGCTGAAAACAGATGAGCCTCGTGCTTTTCTTGCATCTGATCCCATGTGTACTTGCAGCGCTGTGCCCCCCAGCTCAGCTGTGCCGAGGGCAGTCCTGCAGTCCTCAAGGTGCATGGAGGTGTGATTTGTGAATCCAGGCTAATTAATCCAAGATGTCACAACCTTCCTTTTGCTGCAGTGCTTTCCCTGCTCCTTGGCAACACAGCTTACACTGACTTTAGCTCCACAGTCTGCTGAAGTGCTCTGTGCAGTGTGGGCACTTTGGGCTGCTCTCAGAGGAGCTTTGGGAGGAGCTGTGCCACTTCTGCTTCTAACTCATTTCTGTGCTGGTGGGTTCACTCTGTTCTTCCTTGGCTCCAGGTCTGCCCTCGTCCTGCTGGCCATCACTCAGTGTCACCTGAATTACTCATTGCTCTGAGCCTTCCTTTGGTCTCTTTGTATGACATCAAAACTCCTTTCAGTATGTTACAGCTGGACAGATGCTGGCTTCTCAGACTTACAGCCCTCCAAACACAAAGGTGCTGCTTATAGATTACGACCGTTGGCTTAACTGAAACCTTTTTTCTTTCCAGAAGAGAAGGTTCAAGAGGAATCCCAGACAGAGACGGGCAGGTGGGTGGCATCCACATCATGGCTTCGTTTCACACCAAGTGCAAAGCAGGAGCAGCACGCTGCTACCTGTTCTCAACTGGAGCTGCTGGCATTGAGGCGTCTGTCCGTCAGCGCTGGGGCCGGGGGGCGGCGCGTGGTGACGGATTCCTGCCTCAAAGCCCTGCGATGCAGCAGCTGGGGGGGGGGGGGGTTTCCCTTCTCTTAGCACTGGTGTAGAAAGAGACGTTCTGCCAAAAGCCGGCACCCACCTGCAAGTGGGGCTGTGAAACCAAACCGGAGCCAAGCGCACAAAGCGCAGCAGCAGAACGAGGGGCAGCTGCCGCTTTGCTTTGTGCGGAGCTGCGGCTGGGGAAGGGGGGAGCGGCGCTGTGACCGCCCCGCTTGCCTTGCAGCATTACCCCGACGAGCGGCACGGCCCCGAGCGGCACCCGCGGGAATCCCGCGACGGCTGGGGCGGTTATGGGTCGGAGCGGAGGATGAACGAAGGCAGAGGGATCCCCCCGCCCACCCGGTTAGTGCTCCGGCGCCAGGCTGCGGCGGCGCTTCGTCCTCGCGGGTAAAAAGGGGGCGCTGGTGGGAGCGCGGCGCGAGGCTTCCTCCTGCTGGGTCCTTTGAGCCTCTGGTCGGGATGCGCCAGGGATTTAGGGGCGAGGAGGGGCTCTGTAAGCAGCTCCCCTTCCCAGCTGAGGCTGGGTGCTGTTAGCTGCCCCGGGCAGAGCAGCGCTCCTAGCTAGAACTCGGCATTCAGCAGACGGAGGTGATGGGGGGAGCTGAGCATGCTGGTGGTTTCTGTGCAAGTCAGCAGCCGGGCCGGATGCGTCCCAGCAGCGTGGGGCTGAGTGCAGGCACACCGACAGGGAGCAGGGGTTGGCTGGCTGGTCGCATCTCGCCCGCTCTGTGCTCCACCCAGCACGTGGGGCTGTGCAGGTAGCGCCTCCCGCGCTGCCGCAGCGATAAGGGGCGCCTAGAAGATTCTCTTTTATTTTTTTAAGAGATGGACGTGACTGGGGAGATCATGGTCGAAAGTTAGAGGGGCATCAAGATCGTTCATGGCAGGGCAGTGTGGCTGGAGGAGTGATGGGACGGGATCATGAGAGATGGCAAGGTACACTTGCTGCTTCCCAGTGTGATCGTGGTCTTTCTATCAATGACTGCTGCTGAACTTGTGGTGCTAATTAAAGCCTGCCGACCTTCACAGCGTTACTGAGAAAGCAAATCAAACTGGGGACGATCTGGCTTTTCTGGTAGGGCAACACGAAGGCCTTTTCTCCTCCCCCCACCGCTGCTTTCTCTCGTTCTGTGCTCAGGTGGTGATCGAGGCACGCCTGGTCAGCAGGGACCAGGCCACGCGACGCACCGCGGCGGGATGGCAGGGTAAGGAGCTGTCACCTGGGTACCAACAGGCCTGAACCAAAGCAAAATGCAAAGTGCAAAGTGCAGAGGCACGCTTTGAGATCCAACTCGAGTGTGGATTTGCAAGTAGGAGGGGAAAAAAAAACCCAGACAGAATCAAATGGCTGCTGGGAGACGCGCGGCCGCCTCTTGCTTCCCGTCCCGTTCCCAGCCTGTCTGCTCTCCCTTGTAGGCGTGGAGGATTCACGCAGGGCCCAAACCACAGCCAGGTGGCACCGAGTGCTGCAGTGCAGGGGGGGTTTGCAGGCCAGGAGCGGGGACACAGAGCGACCGAGCCGCGCTTCGCCCGCCGCTACTGAGAGCGCTTTAATACACAGATCTATAGACAGAAAAATCTATTTTTAATACAAAACGCCAATGGGGGTGAGTTTTATTGAGCAACTTGAATTTGTGGTGACGAAAAAGCGAGACTGCTGCCACATCGTAGCCAAACGCTCTATCAGTTCAGCTGATTGGTTTCCTTTCTTTGTTATGAACGTGTTCTTGGTCGGCATTGAAGTTTCTGTTAGTGAAACATTCCATTTTTCCAGAACAATAAAAGCAGTTGATGGTGAACAAACGCTTCCTTCTTCCCGGGGTCTTTGGCAGCCTGTGGAATCGAAACAAGTTCTGCTTTCGGCCCTGAGGGCAGCTGTGGGGCAGAGAGCCGTGTGTGTGTGGAAGAGGTGAGACTGGGATTCCTCCTTCATTTCTCCGTGCTCTGTTACACTGCGGAGCCTTGGGCCCCCAGGAGCCCCGCTGCCCTGTGCCCCCAGCTGCTGCCTCCGGTCCTTCCTTCGGCTTCCCAGGGCGATGCTGCGTCCCTGCGGTGCTGCTTGCAGCCCCTGCTCCCGTTGCAGCTCCTGCTCAGCTGCTGTACCTCAGCAGGCCGTAGATCTGCTCCAGGATGTGGGCAAAGCTCTGGTCCTTGGGGCTGCGAGAGGCCAGGGAGCCCTGCGGAGAGGAATGCAGCTCTGCTCGCCAGGCTCACCCTGTGCGCTCTGCTCTGCCCTGCACCGGGGTGAAGTAAAACCCAATTAACAGCTCTGGGAGGAGCGGGGCGGGTAGAGCTGAGCTCCCAGGAAGCACTGCCCACCTTCAGCTTATCCAGGTAGGTCTGGTCCTGGCTCCACAGCTCCTGGAACTTCACCAGGTCCGGGGCTCCTTTGTAGAACTCCACCAGCAGCGTCTGGGGGCGGGGGCAGGGGGCTGCAGTGGGGCTGAGTGCTCCTTCCCCAGACCCCCAGAGCAAACAAGGATAGAGGAGAGATCGTCCCCAAAGCTGGGACGGGTGGCAGGGGCACAGCCTGGGTTTGGGGGTGAGAGGGGGGTGAGGGACTGAACAGGCTGCCCAAGGAGGCTGTGGATGCCCCAGCCCTGCAGGCATTCAAGGCCAGGCTGGATGTGGCTCTGGGCAGCCTGGGCTGCTGGTTGGCGACCTGCACACAGCAGGGGTTGGAACTGATGAGCGCTGTGCTGCTTTGCAGCCCAGGCTGTTCTGTGGTTGTATGACAGCTCCTGCCCCACGCTCACCATCTCCTGCAGGACGTCGTTGGTGAGGAAGCCGTCCTGGATGTAGGCCACCTCCACATCCATGGGGATGCCGTAGTCGTTGGGCCGTTGCTGGATGAGAGGGGAGTGGGGTCACCTATGGGGTCACCTATGGGGTCACCCATCTGTCACTGCACTGGGCCCCCCTGAGGAGGCGATGGGAGCCGCTCACCTCAGGCGGTGGCATCACCCAGAAGGGCGCAATCTTGGACTCCACACCGGGGTTACCAGCATAGTAGGGCCCTGGGAGGAGAGATGGGGCTGATGGGGGGGGGGGCTGCCGCCCTGTGCCCCCCCAGGGGTGGGTGCTTACCGCAGATGAGGGCCAGGCAGGGCTGGAAGCCGTTGCCGCTGCCCTGCAGTTTGAGCTGGTAATCCATCTGCGCGTCGATGTCGTGCAGGGAGGGCAGCGCGGGGCCGAAGGGGTGGCTGTGGTACCAACCCACCAACGACAGCCCCCGCAGGAACAGGCTCTGGCAGATCTGGGGGGCGAGGATCGCGTCGGACCCCCCCACATCACGGGGGGCACCCGGGGGGCGACGGGGCCTCGCGTTACCTCCTCCTCCACGGCACCCGCGGTCTCAGCATCGCCCAGGCGGCTCCGGCACGGGAAAGCGCGCAGCACCGTCAGCACTGCGGGGACGTGGGGGTGGGTGGCAGCGCCAGGGGCTGTTCCCCCCTGTCCCCCATTGCCTACGCTGCGTGTTGGTGTCCCAGCGGCCTCCCAGATAACCCACGACTTCACTGCGCGTCAGGTGGCTGTGGAAATCCTAAAGGAAAAAGGAATGGGCCGAGGGGATCCTAAAAGGGATCCTAAGATCCCAGCAGGGGAAGGGGACGCACCAGCAGCAGGAGGACGTTGCTGGAGATGGCCACGTTGAAGGGCTGGAACTTGTTAATGGCGGCGAAGGACGTCACCTCCACCAGGGTCTGTGGGTTCCTGCAACAGACACAGCCCCGCTCCCCCCGGCCCTCCCCACCCCGAGGGCTGACCGAGGTGAGGCTGGGGGTCCCTACCTGGCTGCGTCGCGTGTGCCCAGCATGCAATAGCGGACGGGCGCCCGGCTTTTGCTCTCCGGCCTCCTCGCCGGGGGGGTGGGCTCTGTACAGCAGTGCACGGCCCCCCGTTACCACCATCACGTCCCCATGGCCACCACCGTAACCCCGTTACCATTCCCTGCAACCCCCTTCCTGCCACCATTACCCCTCACCCTGCTCTGCTGTGCCGCGGCCCGGCAGCTTCTTGCTCTTCTCCTCCGTTCTCTTGGTGGCTGCTGGCTCCGGTGCGGGCGTTCGGCCGTCCCCAGCCTCCTCCTCTTCCTCCTCGGGCAGCTCATCCTCCTCGCCCTCGCTGGGCAGAGCCTGGAGCAGAGCACCAGGAGGGGCTGAGGGCTGTGCCCACCCCAGGGCCCCAAGGGGAACCTCTGCGGTGACATGGATGGGAACCCCCCCAAGGCTCCTCCTTGGGACCCCGGTGGGAGCACCCTGAGGCTCAAGGGCATTTCCTTGGGGACACCGAGGGGGACGTCCAGACCCATTCCCAGGGACACCAATGGGGATCTGAGACACCTCTGTGGGGACAACCACAGAGACCTTAGGCATCTCCCGAGGACACCAGAACGGACCTCCTTGGGGACACCTATGGGGACACCCCAGGCCTTTCCTCGGGGACACCCATGGAGACCTGATGCACCTCCTTGGGAAACCCACAGAGAAACCCCAGGCCCTGGGACACCCCAAGACTTCACCTTGAGGACACCCACGGGGACCCCTCGAAACACCTCTCCAGTCCCCAGGACGCCTGTTTGGGGACACCCAGGTCTGTCCCTGGGGCACCACCCCGAACCCGAGGCACTGGGGGAGGCACTGGGGACACCCCAGCGGAGATCCTTGCAGTCAATACAGGAACCCCCCCGAGTCCCCTCCTCAGGGACACCCATGGGGACACGCCAGGCCCCTCCTTGGGGACGCCTCCGGGTTCCCACCTCATCGCTGGGCGCGTGGGGCTGGTGGTGCCGCAGCCACGCAGCCTTGTACTGATCCAGGCGCTGCCCCTTGTAGCGCACGGAGGCCCAACCGCAGCCCGACTTCTTGGCAGGGTTCACCAGGCGCTTGCAGTGCGTGGCCCAGGCGCTGGGTGAGCCGAACACCTGCCCCGTCTCCTGCCACGTGATGGCCCCGTCCGCACCCAGGTCCCCCACGAACTTCTTGCCCTGGGAGCAGCAGGGAGGGCTGATACGGACCGTGTCCCCATCCGGGTCCCCATGCGTCCCCACCCGTGTCTTCACCCCATGCCCCCATCTGTGTCCCATCCGTCTCCCCATCCGTGTCCCCCTCCGTGTCCCTCCCCATCTGTCTCCATCCCTGTCCCCATCTGTGTCCTCACCCATGTCCTCATCCGTGTCCCCATCCGTGTCCTTACCGCCATGTTTCCATCCATGCCCACACCAATGTCCCCATCCATGTCCCCATTGCTGTATCCACCCATGTCCTCACCTGTGTCCCCATCACCATTGTCCCCATTCATTTCCCCACCTACATCTCCATCCACAGCCCCACTGCCACGTCCCCATACATGTCATAGAATCACGACCCCGTCCATGTCCCCATCTCCATGTCCCCATCTCCATGTCCCCATCCATGTCCCTACCACATCTCAATCCATACCCAACATCTATGGCCCCATCCACGTCCCATGTCCCCATCCCTGTGTCCCCATCCGTGTCCCCATTGCCATGTCCCCATCCACGTCCCGTGTCCTCAACAATATCCCCATCATCCTGTCCCCATCCGTGTCCCCATCCACACCCCCATCGGTGTCCCAACCACGTCCCCATCCCCACCTCCCCCCCTCCCCGCTGCCCTCACCAGGTAGTAGATGGACAAGACCCCCCTCCCCGCTTCCAGCAGCCCGTCACGCAGCAGCACACGCAGAGTGATGCCCCGACGTGTCAGCACGGCCCCCCGGGGTCCCCCCGCTGCCCTGGTCCCACTGTCAGGTTCCGGCTCGGCCTCATCCAGCCCCGGCTCCAGCTCATCCTCCTCCTCCTCTGCGCACTCATCCCCGCTTGGGGAGGCGGCCGCCAGAGCTGTGGGGTGGTGGGGACAGAGCCTGCGTCACCCCCAAGGCGAGAGGGGAACCCCAGCTCTTGGGACAGAGCCTTTGGGTGACCCCAACCACGGGGGGGAAATGGGGACGTTGGGGGATGAGAGGGGATGTGGGGACATGGGGGACACAGGGGGTACAGGGGGATACAGGGGGACAGCAACATGGGGATATGGGGATTTGGGGACATAGGGATGTAGGATGATGGAGATATGGGGGCGTGAGGATGTAAGGAAATGAGAATAAAGGGGTGTGGGGATATGGGATGCAGGGACACAGGGACATGAGGATACAGGGATATGGGGACATGATACAGGGGTATGGGGATGGGGTGATGAGGGGATATGGGGACACGAGGATACGGGGACGTGGGGACACGGTGATGCGGGGACACAGCGATACAGGGACACAGCGACTGGGGAAATGGGGCTATGAGGGCATGGGGACACGGGGTCATGGGGATGTGGGGGTATGGGGATATATGGGGATATGGGGAAATATGGGATATATGGGGAGATATGGGGGAATATGGGGATACATGGGGATACATGGAGAGATACGTGGAGATATGGGGAGATATATAGGATATATAGGATATATGGGATATATGGGGATATATGGGGATATGGGGTTATATGGGGATATATGGCATATATGGGGAGATATGGGAATATATGGGATATATGAGGATATATGGAGATATGGGGATATATGGGGACGCAGGGATATATGAGGATATGGGGATATGGGGATATATGGGATATATGGGATCATATATGGGATGATATACGGGGATATGGGGATATATGGGATATATGGGATGATATATGGGATGATATACGGGATATATGGGATGATATACGGGGATATGGGGATATATGGGATATATGGGATGATATATGGGATGATATACGGGATATATGGGATGATATATGGGATGATATATGGGATATATGGGATGATATATGGGATGATATATGGGATGATATATGGGATGATATACGGGATATATAGGATGATATACGGGGATATGGGGATACAGGGACGGCACACACGAGGCTGACGGGCGGCGCGGGTGGGGACGCAGGGATTTGATGGGGGGACAGAGCGAGGGGCAGCCCCTTCCCACCCCCTTCCCCTCCTTTCCCCCCCCCCGGTGCCCGCACACAGCTGCGTTCCCCCCTCCCCCCCGTTCCCCCCCGCCCCGCACCGCCCCCCCGTTCCGCTCCCCCCGTTACCTGCCATGCTCCCACGCCGTTCCCCCCCCCCCCCCCCCCGCGTCGTTCCCACGTGACGGGGCGGCTCCGCGAGCTCCGCCCCCAGCCGAGCGGTGCGGGGGGGGTTGCGGGGTGGGGGGGGGGCACCGCACACCGGTACCGAGCGTGGGGATGGGGGGGGGGGGGGGGGGAATAGCTGGTGCAGCGCGGGCGGGGCGCGTTGCGTGTGCCGGTGTTGCGGGACGGGGGGCGGCGGTCGGAGGCTGCGGAGCACCGGGCGGCCCCGCGGTGCCCTTCGCTCGGGGCGGTGCCGGAGGTGCGGGAAGGGCTCCGCAACCGTGGAGTCATGGCCCCCCCGCCGCACTGCTATGAGGGCTTCGTGGAGGTGCGGGGGCTGCGGGATCAGGTGCGGAGCTGTGACCTTCAACCCCCCCCCCAACCCCCCCAAAGGTGTTGCGGGGTCAATGCCCCCCCCCAACACCCAACCTGTTCCCCCGTCCCGTCCCGCAGAGCTGCAGGAGGCGCTGGGCCGGGCTGCGGGGGGCGACGCTGTGCTTCTATGGGGCGCCCAGAGAGCAGCAGGTGCGGGGATGGGGGGTCACGAGGGGAGGGGGGGGGTCACGGGTTGGGAAACCCCCCGGTGGGCGTCCGCGGGTTGAGAGCAGTGGGGTGGGGGAGAATCTGGGGTAGGGAAACACGAGGTGGCGCTTTTTTTTGGGGGGGGAGGTTTGGGGTCCGCGGGTGGGAGTCGGAGGATGGGAATCCCACTGGTTGGGGGTATATGGGGGGGGGGGGGACCCATGAGAGGAGAACGCTGGGATTCCCAACATTGGGAACTGTGGGAGCTGCTCAGGAGGTGGGGAACCCCCTGGTCCCCTCCTCCCCAGCATTGGGACCCCTCTGTGGCAGCCCCCCCGGGTGGGCACCAACAGGCTGAGAGCGGTGGGGTGGGAGGGGGATTGCTGGGACACCCCTGGGTGGGGACCCCCGAGGTGACACTTACCCCCCCCCCCCCCCCCCCAGCCTTTGGAGCTTCTGGACCTGGATGAGCTGGTGGGGGTACAGAAAGAGGGGGGGGCCCTTGTCCTCCAGCTGCGGGATCAGAAGGTGACACTGAAGGTGAGGAGTGGGGGGTGGGGGGGGGGGGGCGAGGGGAGGCAGTGGGGCTGAGGGAGGACATGGAGGGCACTGGGTTGAGTGGGGGGGACACAGGGTCCTTAGAGGGGGGCTGGGGGTTGGGAAGTGAGGAATGGGGGGTGGGGTTGGAGGGGAGTTGGGGTTGGGGGTCTGGGGGATGCAGAGTCTCTGGTTGGGTGGGGGGGGGGGGGGGGTTGGGACTCACGGCCCCCAGTCCCTCACAGGCAGACAGCGTGCAGGCGCAGGAGATGTGGCGCGGCTTCATCCTCACCATGGCCAAGGTTGGTGGGTGCCAGTGACCCCTGCCACCGCCCCCCCCGTGTCTCAGCGTCCCCACACCGTGTCTCCCCCCCCCCATGCAGATGGAGCTGCCCACAGACCTGGAGCTGCTGCCTGGGCACCTCTTCCAGCTGTCGGAGGCGCTGCGCCAGGAGAGGGAGAACCGCCGGAGGGCACGGAGTGTGGGGACAACTGCAGTGCCCCCGTGAGTGGGGGTCAGGAAGGGGACGTGAGGTTGAGATGGCATGGAGTGGGGTGACATGGAGCAGGGTGACATGGAGTGGGGTGAAATGGAGCGGGGTGACATGGAGTGGGGTGACATGGAGCGGGGTGACATGGCATGGCTTGGGATGGCTTGGCTTGGATGACGTGACATGGCTTGGGGTGACACGGCCCAGGTTGACGTGGCACGGCTTGGGGGGACGTGACGAGGGTCGGAGCGGCACAGCATGGCTTGAGGTGACACTGCATGGCTTGGAGGGACACGACATGGCTTGGGGTGGCATGACTTGGGGTGAAACTGGCTCAGATGCACATGGCGTGGCTTGGGAGGACATGGCTTGGGGGGACATGACATGTGTTGAGGTGACGTGTTGTGACTTGAGGTGACATGGCATGGCGTGGGGGTGACGTGAGATGGGTTGGGGTGACACTGCATGACTTGTACTGACATGACATGGCATGGGGTGGCGTTATGGCCCAAATTGACATGGCATGGCTTGGGTGGCGTGATGTGGCTCAGGATGACATGGCATGGCTTGGGGTGACATGAATTGGGGTGACACGGCATGGCCAGGGGTGCCACTATGGCTCAGATTGACACAGCATGGCTTGGGTTGACGTGGCATGGGGTGGCAATGTGGCTCAGGATGACGTGGCATGGCTTGGGTGGCATAGTGTGGGGTGACATGGCATGGGGTGTCACTATGGCTCAGATTGACATGGCATGGCTTGGGTTGGCATGACGTGGCTCAGGATGACATGGCATAGCTTGGGGTGACGTGGCATGGGGTGACACTATGGCTCAGGTTGCCACGGCCTGGGGTGGCGTTGGCTGGTTGGCTGGGGATGCTGGTGGCGACACGCTGCACCCCGGGGTGACCCCGGCCCACCCCCAGCCTGCCCAGCTGCTTCTTCGACGTGTCGCGCGCTGAGGCCGAGCGGCTGCTGGAGCGCAATGCGGGCGGTGGGAGCGTGGTGCTGCGGCCCGGCGGGCACGGCCAAGGCTTCTCCATCAGCACACGGCAGGTGCTGAGCGGGTGAGCGGGCTGCGACCCCCCCTCCTGTGCCCCGGGGTCGGGGTCTCCTTGGCTGGGGGTCGGTGACGCCAGCTGAGGTCGCCTCCCCGGGCAGCGCTGCTCTGCTGAAGCACTACAGGGTGCTCAGCGTGGGAGATGGGTTCCTCGTTGACGTCGACACGCCGGTGAGCGCCGTGGGTCTGAGCCGTAGGCACCCACTGTGCCCCCATGGGATGGGACCCCCCAGCTCTGGGCTGAGGATCAGGGGTTGGGACCCCTCCCTTCTCACAGAGGTTGGGCTGGGATCCCCCCGAAGGGATTGGGGCCGGGCAGCCCCATAGCTGGGACCGAAGCAGGGGATCGGGACCCCCGGGGGGCTGGGACCCCGAGGATGGGGATTTAAGGGACTGGGACCCCTGGGGGCTGGAACACGAGGGATGAGGAACCCCAAGAGACTGGGAGCCCAGGGATTGGGGACTGAATGGCAAAGATTTATGGGATTGGGACCCGCAGGGGGCTGGGAGCCGAGCGACTGGGATCCCCCCCAAACCAGGGAACCCCACAGCTGAGACCGAAAGGGCAAAGAACCGGGGGAGTGGGGGCTAAACGGCAAGGATTGATGGGAGCGGGGTCCCCTCGAGTGGGGCTGAGGGAGCTGCAGGGGGGTCCCGTGGTTGGGGGGGGGGGGGAGGAGGGGAACGAGCCCATATCCTCTCCCTGCAGCATCACTGCTCCTCGCTGGACGAGGTGGTGCAGTACTTCGTGAAGCAGAGCAAAGGCGGCCTGCAGCCCCTGCAGCGGGAGTACAGCATGAGGCTGGGTGGGCGCCGGGGGGGGGTAAAGGGGGGCGGCTGGGGCACAGCAGGTTTTGCAGGATGGTGGGGGGGGGGGGGGGGGGAAGGGGGGATGTGGGGCAGGGGAGGGCAGTAGTGGAGTTTATGGGGGGGGGATATTTGGGTTGCATGGGGTGAAGGGGCTGCAGGATGGTTTCTGGGGGTTGGGGGGGGATGGGGGTCTGTGATGCCCCCGTTCTGCCTCAGAGTTCGTGGAAGCAGATGCTAAAAGCTCGGAGGTGACGCGGCGGCCATGCAAACCCCCCCCCTGCCCCCCCCGCCCCCCGGCCCACCCCCACGGCGCAGCACCGCCGGCCCAGGCCCCCCCCCCCCCCTACTGCCAAAACCAAAAGCGACCCCACAGCACGCAGTGAGAGAAGGTGAGTGTGGATGGGGGAAACTGAGGCAGGGGGGTGGGGGGTTGGGGGGGGGGGGGGAAACCACTGCACCCCACTGCTCTCCCCTGCAGGTGCCGGCAGCCCCCCCAGCTCAGCGCCCCATCCGACCCCACGGCGCGTCCCACTGCTGCCCCATGGGCACAGTGCTGGTGAGGGGGGGGGCTGGAGAGGGCTTTGTTTGGGGGGGGTGGGAGCCTCTGTTTTACCCCACTGCCCCCCAACCCCCAGCAGACATCACAGAGGAGCTGGCTCAGAAGCTGATGGTGCGCCGTGCTCTCAATGAGGACTGATGGGGGTCAGTGAGGGGGGGGTCGGGCTGGCTGCCCCCTCCTTCCCTACCAGCTGTGGGCAATGGTGTCCACCTGCCCCCCCGACCCCCCCTCCACGCTGCCTGGCCTCGTGGCAGGGGCTGCCTATGGGGTTGGGGGCCCCAGGTTGGAATACCGGGGGGGCACACAGCCCCATGGTGGCGAGGGGGTCGGGGGGGGCACGCAGCCCTGGTGGCACTACAAACAATAAAGCTGCCCATCCCACCACCCCACCGCGCCTCCTCCATGTCACAGCCCCCCCACATCCAAAAGCCCCTCCCCCCCTTCCCCCCCCCCCGTGCTGCTGTCCCCAAATGCAGCTCACACCTCTATCCCGCTTTATTAAGGCCAGAAGCAGCTGTCTGTGGGGGGGCAGCGAGCCCGGCCCTGTGCCAGTGTTGGGGGGGGGCACACATGGGGGGGGACCTGAGGGTCACAGGTGCCCCAGCACCCCAACCCAGCAAACCGTGAGGGTCTGGGGGGGGGCTGACATCCCCCACCTCCCCCCCAGCACCCGGAACGTGGCGAGGACAGAGTGTGATGGGGTGAGGGGGGGGGTTGTGGTTATGGGAGGGGGGGGGTGACGGGTACATTCAGTGCTCTGCCCCGGGGGGGTCGCTGGGGCTCTTAGGGCAGGCTGGCCGTGGAGCTGCTGGCCGCGCTGTTGCGTTTCTGGAGGCATTTCACAGCGCTGGGCACCTGCAGGCCCGAGGAGACGTGGAAGCTGCCACACCAAACCTGGGGGGCACAGGGGCAGCGTTGGGCATCGGGACCCCTCACAACCCCCCCCACGATCCCACAGCCCCCCCCCCCCTCCAGCCCTCCTTACCATGAAGGCTGGCAGCACCGGCTGCGCAAAGCGAGCCTTGAAGGTGTGCAGCAGCTGCTTGGTGCGGGCGTTGTAGAAGGACAGGAATCCTGTGGGCACACATGGGTAGGTGTGGGGCACACATAGGGGCACACATGGGACACAGAAGGGGGCACATGGAGCACACATAGCAGCACATGTGAAACACACATATGGGCACCTGTGGGGCACACGCAGAAAGCACTGAGGGGCACGTGTGGGGCACAGATAGAGGGGGAATGTATGGAGCACATACAGGGACACGTGGGGCACCATAGGGGCTCGTGTGGGGCACACACAGGGCATGTGGGGCATATATGAGGCACATCTAGGGACACACACAGGGGCACATGTGGGCACACAGGGGCACACAGCGGGGTGTTTGTGGGACAGATGTGGGGCACACGGGGGAGAAGATGGGGAACATGGAGACACGTGTGGGACGCAAAAGGGGCCGCATGGAGCACACATGGGGCAAATGTGGGGCACACATAAGGGCACACGTGGGACATGTGAGGCACAGATAAGGGGCACGTGTGGGGCATAGAGGAGGCACACATAGGGGTACGTGTGGGGCACACAGGGGCATATGTGGGGCACATATAGAAGCATGTATGGAGTATACAGGGGGGCGCATGCGGGGCACATGTGGGCACACAGGCATGCGTGTAGGGCGCACACAGCCACACGTGGGGGCACACATATGGGCACTTATGGAGCACACAGGAAGGCACGTGAGGGGCATATATGGGGCACAGATGGAACACACATGGGGCACACGTGGGACACTTGGGGCACATCCAGGGCCACGTGTGGGACACGCATAAGGGCACATATGGAGCACGTGGGGGGCACACATAGGGGCACGTATGAGCACAGGTGGAGCACGCTTAGGGACAAGCACGGGGCACACGTGGGGCACACAGCTCCACCTCTGCCCGTCCAGCAGCCCGGCAGCGCCCCGCACGCGGCCCCAGGAGCAGCTCCCACCTTCATGGAAGTTGCAGTAGACGCCGATGCAGTCGGGCACGGGCACATCCAGCACCTTGGCCTTGTTGGCGTGCTTGGCGCTGAAGCTGACCTGCAGCCAGTTGTTGAGGTGGAGGCACCACGACGCCGACGTCTTGCCCAGCTGATCGAACTTGCCCAGGCTGCGATACGCCACCCCGACGCCGAAGGCTTTGCTGTCGCGGTCGTACCGCACCTCCCAGTAGTGGTCGTCGCCGTCGATCAAGGTGTCGCCTGCGGGCACACGGCTGCCACGTTCCCCCCCATCTCCGTGCCCCACGTTTCCCCCCTTCTCGAGCCGTGGCTGCCGCTCTCACCCAACACCGTGTAGGATTCGGCGGTGAAGCGATCCCTGCCGGCGCGGCCCAGCGACATCCGCTTGGGTGACTGCACAGCCCTGGGATGGAGGCAGGCTGTGAGGCCGGTGCCGCCACCAACACCCGGCGCTGAGCGGGGTGCTGCTACCTGGCGGGGGAGTTGGCGGGCGACGCAGTCCTGCCCTTCCCGTCCTTCTCCCTTGTCTTCACATCCTGCACCTTTCCCCCCGTGGCGTCCCACTCCACGCTGAAGTCCTCCACGCGCAGGTTCTGGTGGCACGTGCTGGCATCCAGCCGGAACATGAACGCTGGGGACAGCCACCATCAGTGCCACCCCCACCCCACCCCCCCCACAGGCTGCCACCCCCCCCCTGCCCCCCCGACCCCCCCCTCCACGCTGCCTGGCCTCGTGGCAGGGGCTGCCTATGGGGTTGGGGGCCCCAGGTTGGAATACCGGGGGGGGGCACACAGCCCCATGGTGGTGAGGGGGTCGGGGGGGGCACGCAGCCCTGGTGGCACTACAAATAATAAAGCTGCCCATCCCACCACCCCACCGCGCCTCCTCCATGTCACAGCCCCACACACCCAAAAGCCCCTCCCCCCTTCCCCCCCCCCCCCCCCGTGCTGCTGTCCCCAAATGCAGCTCACACCTCTATCCCGCTTTATTAAGGCCAGAAGCAGCTGTCTGTGGGGGGCAGCGAGCCCGGCCCTGTGCCAGTGTTGGGGGAGGGCACACATGGGGGGGGACCTGAGGGTCACAGGTGCCCCAGCACCCCAACCCAGCAAACCGTGAGGGTCTGGGGGGGGGCTGACATCCCCCACCTCCCCCACAGGCTGCCACCCCCCCCCCCCGGCGCCCACCTCTCGTCTCCAAAGTGACCGCCTCAGAGAACTCTCCGGCCACGGCTTTGTTGCAGGCCCGCACTCGGAAATTCATGTACTTCATGTCAAACTTCAGCCCTGCGGACGCACGCGGCGAGGTGACAAACTGGGAGCCCTGGGACAGCTCTGCTCCGCACCGACCGGCCCCGCACCCTCACCAGACAGCGTGTACTCAGTGCCCTTAATGCCCTCCACCACCATCCAGGGCTGCTCCTCCTTGGCTCGGGGCGGCCCCTCGAAGTTGGTCCTGCGGTACTCCAGCACGTAGTGGTCGATCTTGCTGTCCTCATCAGGCATCCTCCAGCACAGCGTCACGCAGTTATCGGCCACCAGTGACTCCGTCAGGTCGATCTCAGGGGTGCTCGGCACTGCCGGGAGGAGCAGCACGTCAGTTCTGACCCCCCCCCTTCCCCAAACACAACGTCCCTACAATCATAGAATCACAAGGTTGGAAGTGACCTGTAAGCTCATCCAGTCCAACCCTCTCCTCATCACCACTGCCACCACCAGCACTAAACCACATCATGCAGCACCTCATCCAGGCGCCTCTTGAGCACTGCCAGGGACGGCGCCTCCACCACCTCCCTGGGCAGCCATTGCAGTCCTGACCGCTCTCTGAGAGAAGAAGTTCTTCCTTATGTCCAACCAAAACCTCCTCTGGTACAACTTGCAGCCATTGCCCCGTGTGCTGCTCGTTGCCTGGGAGAAGAGGCCAAACCCCTCCTCACCACAGCCCCCCTTCAGGAAGTTGTACAGTGCAGTGAGGTCTCCCCTGAGCTCCTCTTCTCCACACTGAACAATCCCAGCTCCCTCAGCCGCTCCTCAGAAGCCTTGTGCTCCAGACCCCTCACCAGTTTTGTTGCCCTTCTCTGGACTCGCTCCCTGCCCAACAGGGCACCCCCAGGTGTGCTGTGATGGGAGGGCGGACACCCTGAGAAAGCACATATGGAAACCTGAACGCGTGGCACCCAGAGCTCCCTGGATGCAGCCCCTATGAGCACGCTGCCCCACGCCCCCCAGCACAGCCCCACAGCTCCCGCTGAGCCCTCTGTGCTTCTACAAAGGCCACCAACCACATCCCCACACCCCCCTCCCGTGGGGGTACCTGGCAGGAAGGCGAGGGCTTGCAGCAGGCGGCGCTCCTGGGCAAAATCCACCATCAGGTGGCTCATGTTGTCGCTCACCTTGGCCTTGAGCGAGAGGCGGAAGGCGGGAGCCATCGTCACACTGGGACAAACGGGGACAAAGCATCAGCCAGGCTGGGAGATGGACCCAGACCCCTCACCCCGACCGCCAGGAGGGATCTGAGAAGGGTGGGCGGCACCCTGCACCCGCATCCCCCCCCTCTGTAGCTGTGGGGTGAGGGCAGGGCGACGCCGACACTGTAGGTTAGTGGGGCACGGGGGCAGCGGGGGGACCGTACCTATCCTTGATCTGTTTGGCAGCCTGGAGAGCGCAGAGGGAAAGAGGAGAAAAAGAAAGCAGGTGAGACAGCAGTGCCAGGAGCCAGCGTGCTGCAGCGTGTCCTGACATCGTGGCCTCACAGCACAGCATCCCTGCAGCATCCCTGCAGTGGCACCCACACAGCACAGCATCCCTGCATCCCCACAGCAGAACCCGCACAGCGCAGCGTCCCCTGCGCCCCACCGGCGTGCCATGCAGTGCAGCATCCCCACGTCCCCATCCCAGTGCACTGACATCCCTTTATCTCCGATAACAGAAGGTGCCACGCAGCACCTGAGGCTCTGGGTGGTATGGGGGGGTCCCAGGCCCTAACCAAGCCTGGCAGCGGGCAAAGCCAGCCCAGCGTTAACAAGGTGCCCAGCACAGAAAGACAGGAGTGTGGCCGCCTGCGGCGAGCACAGTCAGAGCGGCACGAGCCAGAAGGTGAGGGGGGACAGCACTGCCCAGCCCCCACCTCCAGCACACAGCGCTGGGGCAGCCGGGCAGGGATGGATGGCAGCTCCCAGCTTGGGCACCTGGGCGAAGTCGTGGTTGTTGGCCGTCGCCAGGGTCTGGTTGGCCGTCTCCAGCAGCTCCTCCGAGCTCTCCAGCGCTTTGGCACACGCCGCCAGCTGAGCCTGAAGGACACAGAGCTGCAGTGTGTGGTGGGGGCAGGCAGAGGGTGGGCAGGGCAGGCGCTCACCTGCAGCTCGTAGGTGCGGCTGGCGCGGTCCTGCTTGATCTTCATCAGCATGCTGTCCTTCAGCTCGTCCAGCAGCGCATACAGCGACTGGAACTCCCCCTCCAGGTCCTCCTGCACTCGTGCAGAGTTGTCCTGGTGGTGACAGCACACGTCAGCAGGTGATGGAGGAGCCATGAGCACCACCCCTCACTCTGTCCCCTTAGGGGACCCCGTGTGGCGGTGCTGGTGACGGGGGGGGGGGGTGACACGCGGGGCGTTGAGTTACCTCCACATTCTGCAGCATCTGCTTGAGGGAGTAGATGAAGTTCTGGATCTCTTCATTCTTCACAGCCAAAGTGGTGATGATCTTCCGCAGCGCTTCCTGCCCGTGGTGTGGGGGGGGGACACACCGTCAGTGTCCTCCTGGATCCCCTCTGAGCTCAGCCACCCCCAGGGTCCCCTCAGCCCCACACCCCCGACCCCACGGGACCCAGCACAGACACAGCAATGACTTGGCAGCGGGTGCGGGCGAGCTGCCAGCCGTGGGGGGGCATGGGGGAGGGTCACAGCAGCACTGCTGCTGTGCAGCCAGGCAGGACTGGGGGGGGAGGGAGGGTGCAGAAGCTTCCTGCCCACACCTTTGCCCCTCCATCTTTAACCCCTTCATCCCCCTCCTCCAGCCCTCCTCCTATTCCCCCCCACCTGTCCCTCACCAGCTTCATCCCCTCTCTCCTCCATCCCTCCATCCCCATCTTCCCCCTTCATCCCCACTCCTCCATTCTCCCTTCATCCCAACTCCCTCCATCCCTTCCCCATCCCCCCCCAAGCCCTGTGCGGTACCCGGCCCGGCCCCACCTGGTCGCCCATACCGGGCCGCCCCCACCGCCTCCAGGCCCTGCCGGCACCAACAAAAGGGGAGCGGTTCCGTCCCCGCTCCGCCCCGCCCGCAGAGCATGCTGGGAAGCGTAGTCCGCCTTCGAGGCACGCTGGGATGCGCCCTATTGCCGGAAGACGGACCGCGTGGCATGCTGGGAAGTGTAGTGCGGCCGCAGGGTGTGCTGGGATATGTAGCATTGGCTGCGGGTGGGCGCGGGGCATGCCGGGAAGCGTAGTGCGGCCGCGGGGCGTGCTGGGATAGGTCGTATTACCATGGGGCGGGCGCGGGGCACGCTGGGACGTGTAGTCCCGTTTAGGCCCCGTGCTTCTCCCAGGGGGCTGAGCCCCCCCAGCGCAGGGCTGAGCCCCCAGGAGGAGCCGAGCGGCACCGCTGCATTCAGGCCCCGCTTCCCCCCCACATCTCAGCCCCCTCCTGGGGAAATGGGGCCCCCAACCCCAGGGCATGGGGGGACGGAGGAGGCTGCAGGATGCCTGGGGAGGGGAAGGAGCCCCCAGCGGGACCCCCACCCTCGTGGTTGTCACCGTGAGGCCACGTGGGCCGCAGTGCTCTGGGGTCAGGATGTGCCCCCAAAGGAGGGGTCATGGAATGGTGGCACATCTGGATCAGCTCAGTCCTTGTGCTGGGTGCTGGGGTGGGATGTGGGGTCGGGGTCTGATAGGGGTCGGGGTCTGATAGGGGTCAGGATGTGCCGTGGGGTCGGGGTGTGATGCTGCGCTGTCCTTCACCCCGCGCAGCTCCCTGTGCTGCCACAGGAAGCCGTGGCGTCACGGTGAGGTGTCTGGATGTGTCAAGCAGACCAGGTGCTGTGGGGACAGCGGAGAGGACAGTCCAGGGATGGGGACCTCATGGGGACAAAGGAGCCGTGGGGATGGTGCCTGTGTGGGGATGTGGAGGTTTGGGGTGCTCATCCCCCTCCTCGGTGGTGAGTAGTGAGGGTATGAGGGGGTTGGGGGACTTGGGGCTGTGGGGTGTGGATGGGGGGAAACAGAGGGGCTGCGGGGATCAGCCTTGGATGGGGGGCTGTCTGGAGTGTGTGTGTCCTGAGGGTGGAGAGGGAGCAGGGAGGGGTCTGGGACAGAGACAGACAGACAGACATGAGGACAGGATGGGGTCAGAAAAGATCGCTCAGACACCACCCTCACCCCATTCCCCCGTGCTGCTGACCACGTCCCATGTGTCACATCTCCGCAGTTCTCAGCCCCTCCGGGTACAGTGACCCCCCCCCCTCCACACACACACGCTCCCCCTTGGCAGCTGTGCCAGCGCCTCACCTCTCAATGCTCCTACATCCAACCCAGTCAGAGCGGGGACAGAGGTGGGGACAGTGGCCATGAGGTGGGGGGCACGGCAGAGACAGTGAGGATGGGTGAGGAGACGTGGGGAGGAAAGAGAGCTGAACAGGAAGGGGACAGCGGCGGTGAGGACAGGATGGGGACTTGTGGGCAGTGGCTGCGGCCAAGCAGAGCGCGCGAGCAGAACAGAAGGCGTCCCAGCATCCCCATCAACAGCAACGGGGCCGTGGTGGCACTGGGGGGCCTCAGGAAAAGCCACGTGCCCAGCCATCATCCCCAGAGCCTCGTGGTGACCCCAGTGCTGCTCCCAGCAGTGGGAGCCCTGCAGGTGAGCCAGGAGCCGGCCGAGCTGCGGGTGGCAGCGGGCACCAACGTGTCCCTGCGGTGCCAGCTGGTGACAACAGAGCCGTGGTCCATGGCCCGCATCACATGGCTGAAGGACGGGGAGCACGAGGTGCTGTGCACCACCCGCCTTTATTCCAAAGCCGCCATCTTGCCCTGTGCCACCCCCCGCCTCCAGCTCGCATGGAGCCCACCCCACGCCAAGCTCAGCCTCCATGGGGCACAGCAGGGCGACGCAGGATGCTACGTCTGCTGCTTCACCATTGAGAAGCCCTACCTCACCGTGGCCACCTGCGAGCAGCGTGTGAATGGCACGCTGCTCCACGTCAGCACAGGTATCCAGGAGGCACAAGGGGGTGGGCTGTGCTCTGCTGCTCCCCCCAGGCACCCCTGGCAGCATTTAGTGGGGTCTGTGGGACGTGGGACCCCCAGGAGCTGTGATGTGGGGTCTCTGGATGGCAGCACATCCCCGAGCGCTCGCAGGGTCACAGCAGGGATGGAGTGAGGATGGGCACAGCGCAGCTCTGACTCTGCTTTCCCTTTGCTGCAGGAGCTGATGGAGGTATGTGTGTCCCCAGCGTCCCCCCATTCCCCCCCCCGGTGCTGGTGGCAGTGAGGCAGCGGCCCAGCTGGCTGTGCTTGCAGAGCTGAAGCAGAAGCTGTGGGGGGCTGTGGGGGCGCCTTGCTGCTCGTCGGGCTGATCTCCCTCGGCTGCTGGTGCTGCAGGAGGAAGGCAGGTAACCCCCCCACCCTGAGCAGCGCTGTGCCCACACACCTGAGTGCATTCACCCCACACCCACCCACCCACACCCCTGCCTGGATGCCGTCCCCAAATACCCCAATCGCCCTCTCCCCCTCTGCCCCAATCCCCCCCCACTCTCCTCCCACTTGGAAAACACCCCTCTGCCCGTGCACCCCGTGCCCCACTCCCCTCTTCCCTTCAGACCCCTGGCTGCCCCACTGGGTGCCTCTGGGGCTGGAGGCTCCCCTGCTGGGCTGTGCCTATGGGGCTGTGCCTGCCCTGCACCCCACAATGCCCCCACTGTCCCCCAGACACCTCAAACACCTACGTGAACATCGTGCCCCGCCGGACCCCGAGGAACAAGAGCCCCCAGGGAGCAGCTGCTGGAGGACAGCGTGTACAAGGGGGGCTGGACCGAGCATGGGAGCCCCCCAGCCCTAAGGAGTGACCCCCCCGTGCCCCACAGCCCCCAGTATCAGCAGGGATAGGGTGCGAGCCGTGCGCTCCGCTCTGCTTCACACAGGAAGAGCCCCCATTGGGTTGCAGCATCCTGCCGCCTCGCTTCCTGTCTTCTTGCGGCGCCTTCCTGCCCCCCAGCATCCACCCCTGGGGGCAACCGCAGCCCCCGGGACCCCCAGCACAGACCCTGTGCACGGGCAGCCCTGGGGCTGGGGGCACAGCATGGTCCCACAGCCCCCCGAGTCACAGGGGAGCCGCCGTGCCGCCCGGTGTCCTCATTTCCCTTTGCACTCAGTGCCTGCAGAAGGGCTCAGCCCCATCCTGGCACAGCCCCACCGGGGGGCACTGCTGTCAGCCCCCCTGCAGGGCATGGGGCGGTGGGGGCCAAAAGTGGCTCTAAGCCTGGTGCTGGCCCACGTGGGGGGACACATCCAGACACCAACCCTACCCCCAACCCAACCCGATCCATAATCCTAACTCTGACCCTGATCCTAACCCCAGCCCTAACTCAAACCCTAACTCTGACCCTAACCTGAACCCAAACCTGACCCCGACCCACGCCGTGATCCTAACCCTGATCCTAACCCCAACCCAACCTAATCCATGACCCCAACCCAACCTGATGCCCCAACCCTAATCCTAACTCTGACCCTGGTCCTAACCCTGAGTAAAACTCAAACCCTAACTCTGACCCTAACCTGAACCCAAACCTGACCCCTAACCCAAACCCTGACCCTCACTCTCACCCTCACCTGAACCCAAACTCAGTCCCTCTCCCAATCCTAATTCTGACTCTGGCCTCAAGCCAAACTCAAACCCAATCCCGAACCTAAACCCTGCCCCAAACCCAGCGCTCCCGTGGCGCAGCAGGATGGAACCCCCCCCCCCCCCCCCCCCCTTTTCCCCCCACACAATGGAGTTCAGCCCTAAGACGCACCAGAGCCTTTAATGGGAACACCGGGGGGGGATCCCCGGCACCGTGGGGCTCAGGGTGGCTGTGCAGCCACAGGGTAGAGCAGCGAGAGGTGCCGGGCGCCGCGGACGGGCAGCGCTCGCGCCGTGTAATGCCGCACGGCCTCGGGCACGGAGGGGAACGCGGCCCCAGCGCGGCCCAACACGAAGTGCTGCTCCCGCGTCCGCGTCAGCTTCACGTGCACGAAGCCGTGGCTGCTCCTGGGGGGCAGAGCAGGGAAGGCGTGGGGCGGCGCCTACGCAGGGCACACGACCCCGTGGGGCAGCCCCGCGTTGTACCTGAGTGACAGCGAGTAATCCTCGGGGCTGGTCTCGCAGTCCCTCACCAGGAAGCTGCCCTCGCGGCACAGTGCCAGCAGTGTCTCGGCGCCCGCGCGCCCTATGGGGCCGTGGTACCACCTGTGTGGGGCACCGTGGGGTCACCGACGGCATCCCAACGTGGGGCACCGCGTCCCGCCGGCGCCGCTTGGGGACCAAACTCGACATGGGGGCACCGAAGGGCCGTGGGGAGCCGTCTGTGCCACCGGGATGTTGGCTGTGGGGCATCAGCTGTGCTATGGGGTGTCCGTGCCGCGGGGACCCACCTCCACCATGGGGATCCATCTGTATTATGGGGACCCATCTCCACCACGGGCACCCATCTGTGCCATGGGGATGTCTATGCCATGGGGCCCCATCTCCACCATGGGCACCCATCTGTGCCATCGGGTATTTTCTGTGCCATGGGGACCCAACTGCACCACGGGGACCCACCTGTGCCATGGGGACGTCCCTGCTATGGGGACCCATCTCCACTATGGGGACATATCTGTGCCATGGGGACCCAACTGCACCACGGGGACGCATTTCCACTACAGGGACCCATTTGCATCATCGGGTTGTCCACGCCATGGGGCACCTTTTGTGCCATGGGGACATCCGTGCCATGAGGACCCATTTGCGCCATGGGGCACCTTTTGTCCCATAGGGACCCAACTGCACCACAGGGACCCACCTGTGCCATGGGGACATCCCTGCTATGGGGACCCATCTCCTCTACGGGGACACAACTGCGCCATGGGGACCCATCTGCGCCATGGGGCCATCCATGCCATGGGGACCCATTTCTATCATGGAGCACTTTCTGTGCCATAGGGACCCATCTCCAGTACAGAGACCCATCTGTGCCATTGGGATTTCCATGCCATGGGGACCCATCTCCACCTTGGTGACCCATCAGGGATGGCCTCTACCTCCTCTGAGCCATAGGGACCCCACTCCCCCCCTCCCCACCCCCAGGGCCGTGTCCATGCCATCCATGACGTTTGGGTTCAGGTTAGGGTGAGAGTTAGGGTTTGAGTTTGGGTCAGGGCTATGAATCAGTTTGGCTTAGGGCAAGGTTCAGAGCCAGGGTTAGGATCAGGGTCAGGGGTCTGGATCGATGCCGCCCCACTTTGGATGGGACCCCCACACTCACACTTGCTTCTCCAGGGGCAGCGAGGTGTCCACGTGCCCCGGGCTGGGGGGGCAGATCGGCCTGGTGCCCGGGGGGGGCCGGGGGGGGCGCGCTGGCTGTCGGGACAGACTGGGGGAGCGCTCAGGACTCTCAAACTGCACTGCAGGGGACACAGCGTGCTGTCACCCCACTGAGGAGTCCCAGCATCCCAAAGTGGTACCCACAGGGGGGTGAGGGATGCTGGGGCTGCGGGGTGGTGCCTATAGGGGCTGAGGATGTGGGGTTATGGGGTGGTACCCATCGGGGCTGAGGATGCTGAGGCTGTGGGGTGGTACCCACAGGGGCTGGGGCTGTGAGGGCTGTGGGGTGGTACCTGTAGGGATGAAGGGATGCTGGGGCTGTGGGGTGATACCCATAGATACTGAGGGATGCTGGGGCTGCAAGGTGGTGCCTATAGGGGCTGAGGATGTGGGGTTATGGGGTGGTACCCATCAGGGCTGAGGATGCTGGGGCTGTGGGGTGGTACCCACAGGGGCTGGGGCTGTGGGGGCTATGGGTACCTATAAGGGCTGTGGATGCTGGGGCTACAGGGTGGTGCTTATAGGGGCTGAGAATGTGGGATTATGGGGTGGTACCCATAGGGATTGAGGGTTGCCGGAGCTACGGGGTGCTACCTATAGGGGCTGAGGCTGTGGGGTTATGGGGTGTACCCATAGGAATTGAGAGATGTGGGGTGGTACCCACAGGGGCTGGGGCTGTGAGGGCTGTGGGGTGGTACCCGTAGGGATGAAGGGACGCTGGGGCTGTGGGGTAGTGCCCATAGGGGCTGAGGATGCTGGGGCTGTGGGGTGATACCCATAGATACTGAGGGATGCTGGGGCTGCAAGGTGGTGCCTATAGGGGCTGAGGATGTGGGGGCTGTGGTGTGGTACCCACTGGGGCTGAGGATGCCGGGGCTATAGGGTGGTATCCACAGGGATTGAGGGATGCCGGGGCTGTGGGGTGGCACCCACAGGGGCTGGGGCTGCAGGGTTGGGGCTATGGGGTGGGAGCGACCTCCACGGGATGCCGGCACCTGCGAACGCCCGTGAGATGTGATCCTTCTTCCACTCCCAGGGCTGGTCGTACTCATCGGCCGGCCGCTCGTCGTCGCGCGGCAGGCGGCTGTCACGAGCTGCGCCCCCCCCCGTGCCCTCACCCACCTTCTCCCATCCCTCGCAGGGGGTGTCGTAGAGCTTTGGGCCCCGCTGCGTTTTCACCCGCTGCCCCTCGCCATGCCGTGGGCGCCCTGGGGGACGGGCAGGGCTATGGGGAGCGGCGGGGGCCGGGGGGGGGGGTGGCGGGGGGGGCTGCGGGAGCCCTATGGGGACGGGTGTGGGAGGGAGGAGGTGCGGTGTCACCCACCTGCAGCATCGCGGGGGTCTTCATTGCCGCCCTCGGGCACCGAGTCCTGATCGAAGGGCTCCGAGTATTCGCTCTCGTTGGGGCCCTACAGAGCGGTGGGACGGGACCCCCGTGGAACCCCCCCGCGTCCCCCCCCCCCTCGGGTCCCCTGCTCGGGTGCTCCCAGCTCTTTCCCCGCTGTTCCTTTGTGCCCCATCCCTCACCTCTCCCCCTCCCGGATCTCCCCCATCCCCCACCCCAAATCCCCCCACCCCCCCGCTTCCCCCTTCCCAATTCCCTCTCCCAGCTCCCCGTGCCCCCCATTCCCCCCCCATTCCCCCCCATTTCCCCGTCTCCTCTCCCACTCCCTCTACCCCCCACGTTCCCCACTCCGCCCCACCCCCAAATCCCCCCGCCGTGACCCCACACCTCTCCTCAACCCCCCGCTCCCCGCCCCCAATTCCCCACCGTTACCCCATCATTTCCCATCCTCCCCACCGCCTCATCGCACCTCCCCCCCACAAACCACCCCCCCGGGTGCCCCCTCCTCACCTGCTCCAATCGACCCGGACCCCCCACCCTCACCAGCCGGTGCCGGGGGGAGGCGGTCCCGGTGCCGGTTCCGTGGGGGCGGCGCTCACCGCCGCTGTAGTCGGGTTGGGGCGGGCGGGGGGGGGATCGCCGTGCCCCCCGGCCCAGGTATTCCCGCAGCCATTTGGCCATCGGCACCGCGGGACCACCGGACCCCCCCGCAGCCGCCGCCGCCGCCGCTGCCGCCGCCGCCGCTTTGTGTCACCGCCGCTCTCAGCGCGGACCGGAGCCCCTCACCCCCCCCACCCCCAGTACCGCCCCGCAGTGATGCTCCGGAGGGGGGCGGGGGGGGGGGGAGGAAGAGAGGGCTGAGCCCCCCCCCAACCGGGGTCAGCGGGAGAATCAAAGTGGCACCGGGACAAAAGCGGACCCGCGGCTACGGGACCCCCCGGGGATCGGAGTCGGGGGCGCCCGACCCCCCGCCCCCCCCCCCGCACCGTTAAGGCTCCGCGGACCCCGACATCTGTTGGTCCCATAGGGGTGCGGCCCCCCCCGGCTCAGCTCAGGGGCACGAGGACCCCCCTCTCCCCCCAACCCCCTCCCTAGGATATATGGGGCGGGGGGACCCCAGCGCTGTATCCCAACAGCAGCCCCGCTCTGCTCTCCCCGAACAAAGACCCCCTTCCTGCTGGGGGGGCACACAGGGGGGCACACAAGACGCTGGGCGCCGTCCCATAGAGCGGCCACGGGCAGAGCTCGGAGGGGGGGGGGGGGGAAGAGAAGTCAGTCACAGCGAAGCGCCTTCCTCCCCCCCACCCTACAAAGCCCCGCAGCCCCAGCGCCATTTGCGATGGCTTAATTGGTTGGGTTAATTAGCGCCCAGCCGGGGGGGGGGGGAGGGGGGGCTCTGACAAAGGGGACGGCGGCTCCACTTGGGGCCACCGCGGCTCAGGGTCTCCCTCTGTGGGTCAGCCCCATAACGGACACGCGGACCCATCTGCGGGTCAGAGCCTATGAAGGACACGCGGACCCGTCCGTGCCTTGTGAACTCTGCGGATGAAGCAGACACAAGCAGTTCCAACGCACCCCATTTATTCACTGATCGGGGTTCCCTGTGGGCACAGCCAACCCCCCTGCCCCCCCTGCAGCAGCCCCACACAGATCCCATAGGAGGGGGCAGAGAAAGGAGGGGGTTCTTGGCTACCAAAAAGCACTGAGCTCACGTCCCCCTGTGGGGCAGGAAGGCCCCACACTGCTGTAAGCACAGCGGGGGCTGCTGAGGACAGCAGAGGACGAAGAACACAGTCCTGTAGGTCCCGGTGCTTCCCAGCTCCACGCTGGGATGCGTCACCCCCCAAGTGCAGGATCGGTGCCCACAGCCCCACTGCAGGACAGGATGTGTGGGGTGGGAGCACGGTGGGGCTGAGCGGCTCTGGGGCGGCTGCTCTCAGCCAGGCAGGGCAGCAACGTGCGACGCCAGGGCTCCTCAGTCACTCTCGCTGTCTGTGTACGCTCCCAACAAGCTGAGGGACGAGGAGGTGCTCACAGAGCTGGGCAGGGAGCCTGGAGGGTGAAAGGAGAGCAGAAATGGTCAGCGAGGGGGATTTTAGGCATGGGGAAGGAGGAGAGGAGGAGCTCGGCTTCGAGTCTGTGAGCCGCCAGCTGCACCAGGGCGCAGAGCGCACAGCTCAGGGCTGAGCCCTTGTAATCACGCTGCTCCTCCAGCGGGCAGATGAGGAAAGGAGAAACGCGCTGTCCCTCCCCACAGATCCCCTGGGGGCACAGGGACCCACGGAACCAAAGGCTAAGAACCAACCAGCACAGAACCAATCCGTCTGCTCTCCCCCACGCCTCAGGCCCTCTGCTTTCCTGGGTCCTTCTGCTTCCTTTGTTCCACGGTTCCAAATTCCCACACTTCACACCCAGGCAGCCCCCCCCACCCCAGCGATTTCCCCATGGCGGAGGTTCCTGGTGCTCTATTGGTGTCCTTTGGAAGCTGCTGTCCCCACCTCGCTGACACCCAGGAGAGGAGACAGCAGGAAGGGGGACAACCCACACCGCAGAACCACGGCCCCATCTGCCCCACAGCAACTCAAACCGGGAGCACTGGGGCTGCCAGACCCCACATGGGCAGTTACCAGTGCTGGTCGTGGTGCCTCTGTTCTCTGCCCCATTGACATGGGTGGCACTCAGCTTCTGCTTCCTGGCTGTCACCAGTGCAGCCAGCTGTGACTTGCTGTTCCATTTGCCCACACTCCGCTCCCAGCTTTCAGTCTTCAGCTTCTTGCTCTGGGGCTGAGGGTCCTGCGGGGTGGAGCGGGAGCATTAAGGACGTGTGGTGGCGTGACGGGGAGGCAGAGGGAGGAGGGACACTGAAAACACAGGCACAGCTCCGAGGAGCACCCAACAAGGGCGACAGGGAGCTGAACGGGGCCTTGCAGGCGATGCCAGGCGTGCCTGCAGGCGGCCCTGCTGCCAAACTGAACTCCCCTGTGCCCACAGAGCAGCACGGGGCCGGGGAACACAGGATTAACCCCAGCCTGGCTCATAGACACGGCTGCTTTGATTCATCCGAATGGACGGAGGTCCCTGCGGGCACGGATCGACATCAGAGAGCAGCAGTGCAGGGGGCCCTGTTGGTGGGGATAATCCCTCCCTTGCAAGCCAGGCACTGAAAGCTCTTTTGTCCCGCTCGTCTCCAACACGGACGGAGGAAAAGCAGAGGAGAGGCCGGCCCAGGAGGTTGATTCACTGGTGGAAATCTTCGGAGGGCTGAGATTGCGCTGGAGCGGGGACCGAGGCCCAGGGAAGGCTGAAGGGATGCTGCGTCCCAGCTCCAGCCCAGCCGAGGCCGCCTCCTTTGTCAGCAGCCACAGACTAAAAGCACCGATTGATCCCTCTCTCCTTTCGGCCCAGTGCACAGGGCGCTCGCACGGAGCTGCTCATGCGTGACGGGCAGCAGGGACGGAAGGAACGGCGCGGAGCCCAGGGCGGCAGCTCTGCTCCCAGAGAGGAGGAGCGGCAGGAGGACGAGCCTCTGCCCCCCGCTCACCTCCTGCAGGACGTCTGTAGGCTTTGCCTTCAGCGCAGGCTGGGTTCCTGGTTTCGCAGGCTCCTCGTCAGAGTCGGAGTCCGGCAGCAGCCGGCGGTTCTGGGCCTGCTCCAGCATGGCTCTGCGGGGACGGAGGGCGCGAGCTGAGCGGCAGAGGTGGCTCTGCCCCGCCGCCACGAGGAGCAGCACTGCGGCCTGTGCTGCCTGCTGCTGGAATTGGGCAGCAGGACCCACGCTCTCGGGCGCTGGGTTTAAGTCACCTCCAAGCAGCGCCCAAAGGCTGTGGCACGCAGCCTGATGCAGCTGCAGACTCCTCTCCCCACAGGGACGCTTCCCACAAGCCAGGCCGTGCTGTCAGCCCACGCCAACACCACCGCCAGCGTTTCTTTCCCCTCCCCAAAGAATTCAGCAACAACAACCCACCCCGTCCCCTTTGCGGCCCTCTGGTTTACGCCCCGCTCACACACAGCCCCTCCAACCTCAGGCCCTGCCCTCACTGCGCAGCCATCGCGGTGCTGAGCAGACGGTGAGACGTGGCCCCTCTCCACAGGGCTGCTTTCACACACGTGGCAACGCTTCCAGCCCGCTCACTTCATCTCCTGCTCATCCTCCTCCTGCTCCCTGCGCTTCTGCTCCTCCTCGTATTCCTTGTACTGCTGCAGCATGGCCTCAAAATCCACATTTGCCTGGCGCTGGTTGAGCTCCTTCAACTCCTGTAGGTTCTCCAGAACTTCCATCTCCAGTTTGGAGTCCTTGGTTCTGTTCTCCAGGACCTGGGTGACCAGAAGGAAGCCAGGTTTACCCAAGGCAGCAAGGCCTAGCACTAAGGTCCAGCACAGCCTCCCCGCGTGGAACAGAGCAGGAAGCCCTCAGAGGATCAACACTTTCATTTCTGAGTCAGGCACAATAGGAAAAAAAAAACCAGCCTGCTGCAAATTCCAGCACAGGAAAAAACCTCCTGAGGGCGAACAGCAACACCTCACAATGTGGAGAAGCTATAAGGCCATGTGCTGAGCAGGGTACAGCCAGACAGGGGAGGAGAGAGTTTCCTTCTGCACAGAAGAGCATTTTCCAGTACCTTCATGGGGTTGTTCAGCTCCTCCTCTTCCCTCTCCTTCTGAATCCTTTTCTCCTCTTCCTCCAAGAGCTTCTCAGCTTGGAAGTTACGGGTGGCTCCATGCTCCATGGTGTAGTCCGTGTTCTCAGGATCTGTCTAAGGGAAAAGTAAGGCAGCAAATTCATTGTCCTGGGGCAATGCCACCCCAGTCACACCGCGGCTATGATTCCCCAGTTCCATCCACACCGCTGGGCAGGCAAACACCTGCACTCTCCTGTTCAGCTCCAGAATGCACTCAGGTTCAGCCTGTGCTGGGACAGCCCTGCTCCCCATCAGACTGAGCCCACGACCACACAGCCTCCCCAGGAGGCAAGAGAGCAGAAAGAAAATATTTCACCTTGAAAGTGATCTCAGCCAGGCACCGCGTGCACTTGATGTAGAAGCGGAAGATGGGAAGTCCCAAATACACCTCGTTCTGAACCGTCTCCTTACGGGCATTAAACTTCTTCCCCTTGTAGATGTATTCCCCACATGTCTTGCAGCTAAAGAGAAGTCCATAGCACGTCATTAGAAGAGAAAAAGAGATCAAAAGAGACGCCAGCCCCAATTTACTCCTTTGGAAATCTGGCACCTGCAACCCCAAAATCACCTACAGTGTCTCCTCCCTCTCCTTCCTCCCTTTTCTTCCAGCCCGGGTCACCTCTAAGCGCTGCTGCCAGCAGCTCCCTGGCAGAGTGAGGAAGCAAAACAACGCCCAAACCAACTCCTCTCCCCTACAGCCGCTTCCTTCTGCCCCACGGCGCCTCTTACCGCATGTTGAACGGGGCCATGAGCCGCACCACATACTGACGGTCCTTCGGGAGTTTGAGCTTTGGGATCTTCGCAGGATCGAAGTCCGGCGGGTAATATTTCTGCAGGGACGGGGCAGAGAAGCGCACGCGGTGGGCACGGAGTCACCAAGCGGCTCCCCCAGCACCGCCCGGGGAGCTCCGAGGCCTTTCTCGGCCCGAAGAGCCTCCCGAGCCACCAGGAGCGCCCCGAGGACGAAGCGGAGCGCCCGGAGACCCCCGGAACACCCAGGCGGAATCCCGGAGCCTCCCGAACTCACGTTCAAGACTTTCCGTTCCGACATGGCTGCGCACCGCCCTCAGCGCCCCGCATACACAGTGGGGTCCGCGCCGCCCGCCGCTTCCTGGGAACGGCTCCCGCCCTCCGCCGCCGCTCATTGGTGGAGCGGGATGCAGCCTGAAATGTTCTCCAGTTCTATTGGTTAATTCTGCCGCTCGTCAGAGAGATCCGCCTATATCCCGGAAGTTCGTGAGCCCAAGGGCCTGCCCTGCGCCGCGGCTCGAAGAAAGGTTCCGGGGCGGAGAGGGGCCGGGAGGGGGGATCTGGGGAGCTGAAGCAGGACGAGGTGGGGGGGATTCGGCTGGAGAGGGGCGGCGGGCATCGAGACGGGTCCTGGGGCGGCCTGAGACCCAGTTCAGAACAAAGAGGGGGGTCACAGAGGCTGTCTGGTGCTGGGGGGCTGCATGGGCCGGTCTGGAGCATAGAGAGCAGTAGGTGCTGGGGGGCATGGGGCACTCCTTAGGGGCCGGCTGAGGCCGTAGGGGCCGATTAAAGCACCCCCGGCCTCCAGCTGTCCTCGTGCTGTGCCAGCCCAGCTCAGCGCCCCACAGCATTTTCAGCTTTACAGAGAACATCACAAGTGTGGGGCAGGGGACAGAGCCCCAGGATGGTTTATTTATGGGCTGCGTGTGACCAGCAGCGTGATCCTTCTCGTACTGCTCTGTATCTCGGTCGTGCCTCAGTTTACCCCGTGCGAGAGGGGGAGGCCAGCAGAGGCTGAACTGAGACCCAGCAACTCATCGCACTGATGCTTCTGCATCACAAGGCGGGGGGCAAAGCAGAGAGGAAAGAGAAACCCACAGCCAACATCAGCCCCAGGGCTGGATGAAACCCAGCAGCGATGCTGGGCAGCGGGGTTAAACACGGGGGGTCCGCGGAGGCTCTGCCCGCAGCCCCACGCCTGGCTCCAACACCCCGGGGTCTCGGCGGGGGCTCGAAGCCGCCTGCGGACACTGCGGGGCTCCTCGCTGTGATCCACGGCTCCCCCAAGCGGTCTCCCATCTGTCCGAACGGCCACGCAATGCCCTCCGGTTGCACTCGGGCACTCCGGGATGAGCGCAGAGCCCTTCGGTGAGCTCCGGGGCGCCCACGAGGTTTCCTCTGCTTCCCTCCTGGAGATGCCTATATTACTCTCAGGAACCTGAGAGCATCCCCTGGGCTCTGCAGGGTGCTCTGAGGATCCGGGGGTGCTGCCCTATGTGCCCCACATGCCTCTAGGGCACAGTGGGGAGCTCTGAGAACACAAGAATTGGGTCCTGGGATTCCTCTAGGGAACAGTGGGAAGTACATTGAGAAGCTCTGGGAGCAGCCCTGTATGCCTGGGGTCTGGGGCCTCTGGGGCACCCCACAGCACCCTGAGGGGCTCTGGGAGCACTCAGAGGTACGCTGTGGGCTCCGGGCCCCCAGGATGCAGTAAGGACTGCTGTATGCAATATGAGGCGCTGGGCTGGATGCTGCTGGTGTGGCAGGGTTAGGTAAAGATGTTTGAGATGAGGCTGTGGGGAGGGGGAATGCCTCCAGGGAGGGGTCTCATCTCAGCCTTCCCTGCAGACAGAGCTGTGCCTGTGCTCCAATGGAATCCAGTTTTAGGAATGGCTTTGCTGGAAACTCTCATCCCAGCAGCAAACTGGCACAATCCCAGCAGCTGTGCTGGAAGCTCGGAGCTGGGAAATAACATCCAGGCTATGGGAGCAGTGATAAAGCCTGAATTCGGCCCCCCTGGGCAGCACCAAAATCCCACTTGGTGCCACAGCAGTGGGGGAAGGGAGCAGCTCTGCGGCTGCTGAGGGCATCTCTGGAGCACCGCTTTCTGCTGTGGGTCACCACACTGGGAGCTGCTGCTTTGGGAGGTCTGGAACACAAGGTGTGTTTGTGTGGTGACCTCACAGGCAAACTGCTGACTTTGAGACCCTCTGACATTTGAGGACATGCCTGGGGGCACCGCTGCCATCCCCATTGACACAGAGCCGGTGTTGTGATGCCTGCAGACCCCCAGGCCCTCCTTTGGGGCACAGCTTGGAGGCGATGGATCTCATGGCTCTGCCCATAGCCCCGTGGGCTGCAGGAAGTGCTACCCATGCTCTCCTGTGGATGGGTGGGTTGGTGGAAACCTCGCCATCTGAATACGGTTTTGCTTCTCATTTCAGTTTCGTTAGGAATCCAGCAGGACGGGCAGATTGGAAGATGCTGATGGTGAGACGGGAGAGCAGTTTTCTTCCTGCGGTGGCTGGCACCACATCTGCCTCCCCATCCCATCCTTCGCTGCCTCCCTTGCTCTGAAGGTTGGAAACTCCCCCGGCTCAGCCCGAGAGCCAAATCCGGCCCAGGGAGGCAGTGACTCAGTGCCTTTGATTCAAAGGCAGTGATGTTATCTAAGCCCTGAGAGCCTGCTGCCCCTCCCCAGCAGGGCCCAGGGTGGGAACCTGACAGCTCCGCACCTCTCTGCATCTGCCGAGGGCCCCGGGCCGAACCTGTGCCTCGTGAGCAGGATGGGAGAGCTCAGTTTATCCCCACAGCCCCGCTTCTCTTCCTTCCAGCAGTGCACAGCTTGCAGCTGGCTGCCCCTCTCAAAGGCAGCAGCCCACAGCCTGCCTTTGTTTCGCCCCTGCCCGCTGCTCCTGTCCTTGTTTTGAGGCCACGCAGCTCTGCCTCCACTCCTCCTTGTGCTGGGGATGGCGGTGGATGGGAGCAGGGTTTGGTTTCCAGGAACAAACTGGGAGCAGGAGCTCTGTGTGCCCTCAGCACTGCAGTGTTTGGGTTTGCTGGAGGGATGCAGCATGCAGCCTTCGCTCCTCAGCTCTTCCACGCGCCCTGAAAGCAGCCCGGCCACGCAGAACAGGCACCCATCCCAAATCCATGGGGCTGGGAGCAGCAAACAGCCCCCAAACCACACTTCTATTCCTCTGCCCTCAGCCTGGGCTGCAGCACCTGGCTGGTGACCCTGCACTTGGCAGGGGGTTGAAAGCAGATGGGGATTTGTGGTCCTTTTCAACCCAGGCCGTTCTGTGAGTCTGTGATCCCATGATTCTGTGATTCTGTGGTTGATTCTGTGATCCTATGGTTCTATGATTCTATAATCCTATAATCGCAGGATTAATCACAGGGCTGCTTATGGGGTGGTAGGGCTGCTGTGGTTGATTCTGTGATCCTATGATTCTATGATCCTGTGGTTGATTCTATGATCCTATGGTTCTATGATCCTATGATTCTGTGATCCTATGATTCTATGATCCTGTGGTTGATTCTATGATTCTGTGGCTCTATGATCCTATGATCCTATGATTCTGTGATTCTATCATTCTATGATTCTGTAGTCGATTCCGTGATCCTATCATTCTGATTTTGTGATCCCATCATTCTGTGATTCTATCATTCTCTGATCCTGTGGTTGATTCTGTGGCTCTGTGATCCTATGGCTCTGTGTCTCTGTCTCATTCTGTTCTCCACGTCTCTGGGATTCTATGATTCCACCACCTCCAGCCCCCAGCAGGGCTCTGGGGCCGCACTGCTGCTGCCCTCGCCACCTTTGCAGCGTCGCACCTCCCCAGGGCTGCAGGCTCCGGATCTCTCCATGCAACCCAAGGCAGCCCTGCACACCACCAGCCCAGCACGCCCACCGTGCTGCCATGTGACGGCCGGGCCGCCCTCCTGCTGTCACCGCGTCTGCCTCTGTCACCATTTCCTGTCCTCCTGCACGCAGCACAGCCGCCCTCCTTCCTTCTCCCCAACCCATCCCAGCCACCAGCGCCGCTTCCTGCAGGGCTCCGCTCCGACCCCGAGCTCTGTGCCCCCTTTAGGAAACGCGGCCAATTCATTCCGCTCTTCTTTTGTTGTTTTCTTTTATTTTCTTTCTTAATTATTGTTGTTTTTATCTCGGAAATGCCTTCAGTGGGGTTAAAACCGTGTGTGCGAGTGTGTGTGATGGGAGGGAGCGCACAGCGGGCTTTGAGGAGCTGCCGTGGGTGCGGGGTCCTCAGTGCTGGGTGGGAGTGGGGCTGGGGGCTGCTTGTGGGGTGGTAGGGCTGCTTGTGGGGTGGTAGAGCTGCTTGTGGGGTGGTAGGGCTGCCTGTGGAGTGGTAGGGCTGCTTATGGGGAGGTAGGGCTGCTTATGGGGAGGTAGGGCTGCTTATGGGGTGGTAGGGCTGCCTGTGGAGTGGTAGGGCTGCTTGTGGGGTTGTAGGGCTGCTTATGGGGTGGTAGGGCTGCTTATGAGGTTGTATGACTGCTTGTGGGGTTGTAGGGTTGCTGATGGGTTCATTGGCCCAGTTATGGGTTTGTAGGGCCATGGATTTGTAGGGCTGCTCATGGGTCTGTAGGGCCATGGGTTTATAGGGCTGGTTATGGGTCTGTGGGGCTGCTCATGGATTTCTGAGGTTGGTTATGGATTTATGGGGTTGGTCATAGTTTTGTAGGACTGCTCATGGGTTTGTAGGGTTGATTATGGCTCTGTGAGGCTACTCATGTGCTTGTAGGGCAATGGGTTTGTAGGGTTGGTCATGGTTTTGTAGGGCCATGGGTTTGTAGGGCTGCTCATGGGCTTGTAGGGCCATGGTTTTGTAAGGCTGGTTATGGGTTTGTAGGGTTGGCTATGGGTCTGTGGGGCTGCTCATGGGTTTCTAAGGTTGGTTATGGATTTATAGGGTTGCTTATAGGTTTGTAGGGCTGCTCATGTGTTTGTAGGGTTGGTTATGGGTCTGCAGGGCTGGTCATGGTTTTGTAGGACTGCTCATGGGTTTGTAGGGTTGGTTATGAGTTTGTAGGGCTGCTCATGTGTTTGTAGGGTTGGTTATGGGTCTGAGAGGCTGCTCATGGACTTGTAGGGCCATGTGTTTGTAGGGCTGGTTATGGGTTTGTAGGGTTGGTTACTGGTCTGTGGGGCTGCTCATGGGCTTGTAGAGCCATGGGTTTGTAGGGCCATCAGTCTGTGGGGTTGGTTGTGGACTTGTAGGCTGGTTGTGAGTTTGTAGGGCTGCTTATGGGTGAGTAGGGTTGGTAATGGATTTGTACAGTTATGGGTATGGGTTTGTAGGGCTGGTCATGGGTTTGTAGGGTTGGTTATGGGTTCGCAGGGCTGCTCTTGGGTTTGTAGGGATGATTATGGGTCTATAGGGTTGGTTATGAGTCTGTGGGGCTGCTCATGGGTCATGGGCTTATAGGGCTGCTCATGGATCTGTGGGGCTGGTTACAGGTCTGTGAGCTGGTTATGGGTTTGTAGGTTGGTTATGGGTCTGTGGGGCTGCTCATAAGTTTACAGAGCCATGTAGGGCCATGGGTTTGTAGGGCTGTTCATGGTCTTACTGATCCAGTCCTGGGTTTATAGGGTTGATCATGGGTTTATCCTCCTGGTTATGGGTTTATAGGTCTGGTTATGGATCTATTGGTCTGGTTATGGGTTTATTGGACACTCATGGATTCATCAGTTGGATCACGGGTTTATTGGTTCAGTTATGGGTTTTATGTTCTGATCACGCGTTCATTGGTCTGGTTATAGGTTTATTGGTCCAGTCGCGGGTTTATCAGGCCAGCTGGGGATGTGTCCATCTGGTTATGGGTTTCGCAGTCTGACGATGGGTTTATGGGTTCAGACACGAATGTGTCGGTCCGGCCGTGGGTTTGTGGGTCTGGTTATGGATCTGTTGGTCCTGGAATGGGTTTATTGCTCCGCTCATGGATTTATAGGTCTGCTTATGGATTTGTTGGTTCAGTCTTGGGTTTATTGGTCCGGATCGGATTTATCCATCTGCTCCTGGATTTATCGAGCCAGTTATGGGTTCATCGGTCTGTTTATGGATTGATCAGTCAGCTCGTGGACCTGTCATGGCTTTGTGGGTCTGGTCGTGGGTTTGTTGGTCCAGTTATGGATTTATCCGGCTGCTTATGGATTTCTTGGTCTGCTTATGGGTCGATCGGTCCAGTTATGGATTCGTAGACCTGGTCATGGGTTTCTTGATCCCGTTATGGGTTTATTGGTCCAGTCACGGATCACAGGTCCAGTTATGGACATACAGGTCTGGTCATGGGTTTATTGGTTTGGTTCTGGATTTATCAGTCCAGTCGTGAGTTTATCAGTTTGGTAATGAAGTTATCGGTCGGGTTATGGATTTACCCATCTGCTCATGGATTTATCGGTGCCATTATAGATTTATAGGTCCAGTCACGGGTTTATAGGTCTGGTTATGGATTTATCACTCCGGTTATGGATTTATGGCTCTGAAGGTGGGGAGTCGGATGACACACAGAACATTAAGGTATTTTTGAGGTTTCTTTCGCTTCAGCGTTGGGTTTTGGAAGGGAAGAGCCCATCGAGCGTTCTGCTGCCACAACTTATTAAAAAACAAAACCGAAAACCAAACACAACAACTCGATATTTTCATCATGGAAAAATAATAATCGTAATAAACGGCACTTCGTATTTGCAGGGTCTTCTGGTTTGTCCCGGTTGGTGTTAACCCTTGGGTGGCTGAGGCAGGGAACCGATCCAACCCCGTCCCATTGGGGTGGATGTGGGCTGAGAGGGAGGCGATGCCATAAATCCCAGTGCTGCACGGATTGCAGAGCCTGGCTGAGCTCTGCTGGGAGCCCCGGGCTGCTCCAGCCTCAGCAGCACTTCAATCAGCCCCAAATTTGGGCAGATAGCTGGAAAACGATTCCGGATCCTGGGAAATAATTGTCTCGAGACCCCGCGCCCCCTCACCGGGTCCCATCACAGTGGGGCCGTGGGGCTGGAGAAGGGGGACCCCCATGTCTTGGCACGGCCCACGGCACCACATGCAGGTGGTTTTGGGATGCCCCCGCCCTGGGGAGGTGTTTGGGGTCACCCCTGGCTGTGCTGTTTTCCGGAGGTGCTGCATGGGGGAAAATGAAAGCAGTGGGTGCTGGTGCGTGGCAGGGCACAGCTGGGGGGGGGGGGCCGGATCCCCCCCTCACCCACGGGTGGGGTTGGGCCCCACAGCCTCTCGGTGCTCACACACAGCGCTGCCTCAGTTTCCCCATCTGCAAAACAGGGGTGAAGGGTGCCGACCCCCCTCTCCACCCCCCACCTCATTAAAAGCTCCCACAGGACCCCCCCCCCCCCTCCAGCCGGATGTGGGCACGGGGGTGGGCGGTGAGCACAGAGTCCTCACTGTGCCGCCCACCCCCAGGAGGAGCAGAGTGGGATTATTTAAGGGAAAAGAAAGTGCTGCCCTGCCGGGGGGGGTGGGTAAAGAGGGGGTTCTATGGGGGGGTCAGCAGCCACTTCTGGCCGTTTCTTCCTATGGCACACGTCTATTTTTAGGGTATGTATGTAAAGATTACGGACGTTTATGTGACATTTCGATATTTTCCCTCTATTTCACTCTCTTCTGTTCAATTTTGCCTCCCCAGGTAACACATGGGGGGGGGGGGGGCACACGGACAGGTGTTTCTGCGGCCGAGCCCGGCGGGCAGCAGGAGCTGTTAACTCTGAAACCTAATGGTGGACCCCCGATAACGTGCCGGGGGGGGGGGGGGGGGTCCCCGCAGGTGCACGTGCGGTTGATCCGTGTCGTCCCCCCCCCCTTTCCTTCCCCCCCGCCTCGTGGGGACCTCCCCTTCCCGCGTGAGGGGGGAGGACGGAGGGGACGCGGGGACGGGACGGATGGGGGGAGAAAGGCGGCGCGGGGTGACGGGCGGGGGGCGGCTGACGGGGACACGCGGCCACACGCGCAGAACGGGGCGGGCGGTGAGGGAACGGCCCCCCCCCACGCGGGGAGGGGAAGAGGGAAGGGGGGGTGTGGGGGGTCCCCGCCCTCAACGCGGGGGCGGCGCGGGGGGCGGCGGGGCGGGCGCGGCCCCTTTAAGAGCGGGGCGGCCCCGGCCGGAGCAGGAAGGAGCCGCATACGGGGCCTCGGCGAGCAGCTCCCGCGGGGCGGCCACAGCCTGCTCCGCCCGCACGGCTCGGCCCGGCCCGGCCCGGCTCGGCGCAGCCCCCTCCGCTCCTCGGACAGCGCGGCACGGCCCGGTACGGGGGGGTGCGGGGGGGGTGGGATAGGGGTGCGTGGGGAGGAAGGGGGGGTTTGGGTTAAGGGAGGGGGTGTGGGGAAGGGGCGTAAATTGGGGCTGGGGGGGGGGGGGGAGCTTTGATACCCCCCCCTCCGTTTCCCCCCCGCTCGGGTGCATACGTTGTACTTGGCCGGGCCGTGCTGGGGGGGGGGGGGGTCGCGGAGGGGGGGGGGAAGGGCCCTGCGGGGTGCGTGTTGGGGAGGGGGTGGGGGGGTGCGCGGCGCGGGGGCTCCTGGGAGTCGTAGTCTTCGCCGCCCCGCCGGGCCGCAGGTGCAGGGGGCGCTCGGACTACAGCTCCCGGCGTGCGCCCCGCGCGCGGCGAGTGGGAGGCGCGGTGATGGGCGGCGGGTGGAGCCAATCGGGACGCGCCCTCCGCCCCTCGAGCCCCGCCCCACGCCGCCGCCCGGGGCCAATGGCGGGCGCGCGGGGTGCGGGGTGGCGGAGGGCAGCGCGGCGCGGCCCGGGCGGGCGGTGGGGGCTGAGCTGAGCGGGGCCGCGCTTCCTCCTCTCCGCAAACCCCCCCGCTCCGCACCCTCAGGCCCGGCCCAGCGGCGGGGCGGGGGCTCGGGGTGAAGCCGGGCCGCGCTCGAAGCCTCTCGGCTCGGAAGAGGCCGCGGGTGGAGGCCGTAGGGCCGGGGCCTCGCCTCGCCGCCCCCCCCTCCCCGCCCCCCCCCCCCACCGCCCGCCCTCCTCCCGGCCTCCATTGGCGCGGCGCAGCCCGGGGAAGGGGTGGGGTCGTGGCGCCCGGCCAAGGCTCCCTGTGGGCCCCGCCGGCCGCGGTGGGAGGGAGGCGGAGGGGAGGGACGGGGGGGCGGTGGGGGCCGCAGGGTGGGGTCCCTCGGGGCCGCCGTGCCGCCCGCCTCCCCGCCGGCTTCCCCCGCTCCGGTCCCCGCGCACCCCAAGGTCGCCGCGGCCCGCCGGGGGGGTTTGGCCGTTAGGCCGCGCCGGCCGGCTTCGGTTTCCTGGGGTTTTTCCATTCGGGTGCCGTCCCCTCCTTCCGCCTCCCTCCGGCGCCCACCTCCCTGCGTTCTGCCCTCGGTTCGTGCGGGGCTGCGGGCCGCCGGCCCGGCTGTGTGCGGGGCTGCGGCTGTGACACCGAGCCGCTGCCGAGGCCTCGATGCTCTGAGCCACCGCCGGGCCTCGAGGCCGAGCCCGGAGCTCCATCACCCTCGTGTAGGGCCGAAGGCTACCGCTGCCTTGTGCGGAAGGAAATCCCGGGCTGGGGGTGCCGGTGGGGCTGCCCGTGCTTTGGATGGAGGAGCTGCTGGGAGAGGCGGCCGGTGCCGGCCGGGCTGCACGGATCTCCCGTCGCTGCCCTCGTTCACGTGCTCAGCCTGCGGTCACTGATGCGGTCCTGCTTCCCACGGGGCACGGCTCAGCTCCTCGCAGTTCAGCTTTGCTGCTGCTCTCAGTTGGCTGCTCTCTGCTTTTCATCATCCCGGCTCTCCGGACCGCAGCTCGTGATGCAAGTGCTTTAGAGACATCTGTACAGGAGGCCTCGGCCCGGAAGGATTTACGGCAGCTGGGAGGTCGTCCCAGCGTTGCAGAAAGGTTGCTGGTGTCGCTTTTGTTGTTACTTCGTTAAAGGAAATGTTGTTGTTTCTCGTGGTCCTGATGGAGAACTGCACTGTCCGGGCAACCGAGGTGGTTTCTCAGGCAGAGGGATGGGCTGGCCTGAGAATTGTGAAGCTTGCTGGAGATAATGCCTTTCAACCACTCTTCCAAAGCAATAAAGTGAGAGAAATGGAGCGGTTCATTAAACAGGAGCCGTTCTCGTTTAATATTCATTGTGGCCCCTGTTCTGGCTTGTCCTGGGGAGGGAGGCAGCGAGGAGGAGCCCAAACGTGGCTGAGATGGTGGGATTTTTCCACCAAGCCTTCAGTGTGTCAGCAGTTTGGGGGGGGTTTGTGGGGCGAGGGCTGAACCCGGTGGTGAATGAAAGTTGCTCTTCGTTGCCCGCCGCTCTGCTGACTCTCATCCTGCCTTTAATTTAATTGTGTTCTTGTCTTTCTGCTCTCCTCGCTGTGTTCTGGCCCTGGGAATGGTGGTCTGTGGCCACACAGGGAACGGGTGCCTGAGTTTCCTCACCTGTGCATGAGACAGAGCCGAAATGCTCAGAGCTGTGGCTTTATCTTGATTAAAACTGACACTCGAGGGCTCTTTCCCAGTCTCGGGATGCTGCGTTTAGTGAAAGAGAAGACTTCTGTGACAATTAGACACCTACTTGTTATCTGGCTTAGCCAAAGCAATAACAGCCGCTCTGAACTCCGCTCTCCACCAGCCCTAACCTCAAGTGGAAGGGACCGGTTTCAATCTGTAATTAAAACCCTTTTGATGAACTCAATTCAAGGAGAGGTAGCGAGTCGCTGTCTGGGCTGCTCTCCCCGTGCCCCTCTCCGCTTGGGAGCAGGGTTGGTTTATGGCTCCGTTCCATACCTGGGGACGATGGGGACGTGGGGCAGAAGGAAATGGGGTCAGCCGTGCCGCTGCTGGAGCACACGGGGTGTTTGGCTGCTGCTCCTCCAGCTCTGGAGCCGTATCATCTTCCCTCTGTGCGTCGTTTCAGTTTCCCTGCCTGGCTCTCGGGGCAGAGCCTGCGTGCAGCTCTCATGGCGCGGCCGCTGTGGGTGCTGGAGGCAACCCTGAGCTGCGGCTCTGTGCTGCGTGAGGGGCTCCGAAAGCCTTTGGTGGGCCGTGGGGAGGCGGCCGGCTGCGTGTGGAAGGGAGCTGGGCGTCCTGACTGGACGCGACAAGGCGTGAGAAACTGGACACGGGCGCGAGCTGCCCTGCGCTGCGGGTGGGAGCCAAGGGCGCGTTGGTGAGATGCGCTGCAGATCCCCGGGCACGGCGGCTTCGCTTTGAGGCCCTGCCCCTTAAAAATGCACGGAGGCGTGCGGTGCTGGGGGGCGCAGCCCTCTGCCAGCGGGTTCCCTCACGGCAGCGCCCATAGCAGAACTGCTCCTGCTGTGGGCTCAGGGCACGGCTCCCCGCTGCCGAGCAGCTGGGATGTTCACCTGCTGCCCCCCTGCCGCCACCTGAAGTCCTCTCCACCGTCGCCCCCCAGCGCTGCACTGCACACATCCTGCTGCCAAACTCGAGCTGTGCACTGAGGAGCGCTCCTTATTTCCCCCCTACAGATTTCCCATTGGCAAACTGCAAAGCATCGAGTCCATCTCCGGGCTGTTTTGTGCCCTGTTTGGTTTGTTTGCTCAATGCTTCCCCAGCACAGAGCTGGGCCGGTGCCGAGCGTGGGCTTGTAGCTACAGGTCGTGGCTCCAGCAGCCTCGTGCCCCAACAGGCAGCCGTGTGTGCATGGTACCAGCACGGCGTTCCTCCCTCCGAACCCACGCTGCCCTCTCGTGTGCCGAGGGAAGGAGCACAGCGCCATGGAACGCATTGGAACAGGTTGCCCAAGGAGGCTGTGGATGCCCCAGCCCTGCAGGCATTCAGGGCCAGGCTGGATGTGGCTCTGGGCAGCCTGGGCTGCTGGTTGGTGACCTGCACACAGCAGGGGGGTTAAAACTTGGGGATCTTTGAGGTCCTTTTCAACCCAGGCCTTTCTGTGGTTCTGTGACAGGGGGCTGGGACTGTGAGCATTGCAGCACTGCAGAGGTGCTCTGTTCCTTTGCATGCCTCGTCCCTCAGCAGGGCTTAATGCTGGCGGATGTTTCGGTTCTTTTTTTCGGGGCTGAAGAATTGCCCATGTGTTCCCCAGCACCCCCAGCTTGGTGGGGCTCCTGAGCTCACAGAGCAACCTTCCCCTCCCCGTGTCGCCCAGCACTTCCAGGAGCAGCTGCTTCTTTGGGCAGCACTGAAACCAACTCCGCTTTCGTGTTTTGTTTTATTTTTTCCCCTCTTTGAACACCCGATGCTGTCAGGTCCTCCCCAGCAGCGGGGCTGAGGATCTCTCGAAACCCCCCTGTGGTTTTGCAGGGAGCTGACGTGTTGCTGGATGGCAGCAGCAGAGCTCTGTGGGAGAAAACCCATCGTGTGGGCACGCTCAGCTTTGGCTTTTAGAGAGCTGGGCTCGGCAGCACAGCAAGCAGCTTGCATTAATGCAGGCTGCACGGCCTTCCTGACCCTGTAAGCTGTGCTCTGGTGTTTTCAGGCAATGGAGGGCAGCGTGTGTGGGCTGCAGCAGGGAGGACCAGAGCCGTCTGCGTGCCCACAGGGCCGCAGCCTTGGTGGTGGGGCTGGGGGTGGTGGGTGGGTGTGGGCTCAGGGCAGGAGCTGTGGTTACGTGGGGCTCCAGACCTGCTCTGGCGGATGCTCTGTCCCATATCAGTGCAGCGTTACAGCAGTGCAGGTGATGGAGGCTTTCAGCACGGAATCCCAGGAGCGTGGCGTGGTTTGGGTTGGAAGAAGGAACCTTAAAGCCCACTCCGTCCCAATGCTGGGTGCTGTGACCACCTCTCGAACCCATTCCTACAGTGGCTTCAGTGGAGGCACATTCCTGCTGGATTAAATACGGTCTCTGATGACAAAGGAGAAAATTGGCAAGGAGGTCTGGGTGGAGCAACCAGTTGAAGCTAACCTTGCAACATAGGAGAAGCGTTAACATGGCCTCGTTGTGGCTGTCAGTGGTGCAAATGGCCGCGTGCTGTGCGAATGGGGCCTGGTGTGGGGCTGGTCGGAGCCCCATAAGCCTGGGGGCACCCAGTGATGGGCAGCAGCCCCCGCTGTGTCCTCGGTGCTCTGGGATGGGGCACCCGCTGCTCTGTGCAGTGCCAGCACCTCACCGCCCTCCGAGCAAAGGGTTCCCCGGTGACATCAGCCCCAAATCTCCTCTTGTTTGGGATCCTAAGAGGTGCTGAGCCATTTTCCCCTGCTGAAGCACTGGGCTGTGCCACGGTGGCTCTGTGCTGCTGTGGCTTTTCCTGTTCTGGTTCTGCTGCTGTCGTGCTGTGGGTTGGGCTGGAGGTGCTGAGTGGGACGGCGCGGCCCCATCCTCACAGGCGCTCACCCTTCCCATGCTCATGTGACAGAAGAACCCATTCCTTCTGGGGATCACATGGCAAGTGCTTTGATCCTGGAGTTTTGGGGGAGAGCAGGAAGCCTTTTCTTCTGTGGCAGCATCCCTTATGGCCTCCTGGAGGACTCCCAGCCTGAGACGTGGCCGTGGCAGCGCCCAGCTCCAAGCACAGCGCATCGCATCCATCTCCCACTGCTCCTTCTGGCACTGCTGGTTTGGAGCCCTGCTCCATGCAGGCTGACGACGTGGGGTTCTGCTGCTCTTCTCCCCGCGGTGAGAGCTGGGAGTGTCGAGTTGTACAACGATTATACACGGCTCTGTTGGGTTTGCCTGAGGTGCAGGGGTTGCTGAATCACACCCCAAACCTGTCTGTCCGGGAGTGGCGAGGCACTGCGTGTGTCACCTGCGCGGCTCACTGCTGGTGGTCGCACACCCACAGCACCCAAACAAGGTGCACTGTTGGGGTTTCTGCATCCCCAGGGGTTGATGCAGCTCCTCCAGGCCCAGTTAATGCTCCGAAGGTATCGGCCCTCTGAGCGAGCACAGGATGCAGCCGCTCTCGGCTAGGAAATGGCTGACAGGGGGGGCTGCCCTGCGCTCAGCCCACGGGGAGCAGCTCCCAGCATCGCACGGGGAGTCCTTCCACCAGGAATGAGAACTCAGCTTCTCTGCTGTTGGTGGCTGGGAAGGTTCTCCCGATGCTCACCGAGGCTCTGAGTTCCATCCCTTTCGCTCAGCACGAGGTCGTGGGATGCGGCTCCGTGCCGAGGGATCCGTGGGGTTCGGGGGCAGTTCCCCGTGCAGGTGTGGAGCAGGGCTGTGCTGGGGCTTCCCCTGCAGGCAGGAGGGAGAGGCAAACCTCCCCGGCAGGTTGGACCTGGCAGCAGTGAGGGCAGTCCTGGCTGCTTTGCCTACCTGGTGCGGGTGTGAGTTGGAGCCGTGGAAATGGAGGCGGTTGTCGCTGTAGCTGGGCGGTGGGGCGCAGCAGCTGGCTTGGTTTTGACATCGGGGCACGGGGTGTTGGAGCGGGGAGACCCCGAAGCTCTGCTCTGGGTGGACCTGCTGGAAGGGGTGCTGTGAAAGCAGGGCTGAGGGGAGGCTGGTTGGCTTTGTGCTGCTGTGTGATTTGGGAGCTGATGGAACCCACCGTCACCGTGTTCGGCTCCTGAGATGATCTGTCCATTAAAACTGCGGTGATGAGACCCCGTGGAGAGCCAGGGTGCTGGGGAATGAGGGCAGCCGCCTTCGGAAGGGGCCGGGGGGGGCAGGGGGTGTCTGGCAGCAGCACACAGGGGCAGATTGTCCGTGCAGAGCCCTGTGTGGGACGCTGCTCTGATCTCTGCACATCAATGGCTGCGTGATCTCTGTCTGTCACGCGTCTCTTCCTGTGCTCTGCCCCAGACGTGCTGCCCGGGTGGGATAGAAGGGATTTCTTGTTGCAGGACTGAAATAGGGGCATTGAGTCGGGTGGGGAGTAAGAGGGCAAAAAAGCATCAGCACCCTTTTGCATGATAACCACACGTTTGTTCCTGTCCGAGCGCAGGGTCTTCGCCTCAGAGCACGCATCTGCTTGGCAGGTCCACATAATTTGGATAGTTTGGCTCTAAACCGCCGACAGCGCATTCCTGCTCGGGAGCAGCAGAATTTTAATGGCACCGTGGAGGAGCTGCAGCAGCCTTCACCCCCCCGGCGGGCACAGCCCTGCTCTGTGCCCACCCCCCCTTCCCAGGCTCCGTGCTGGAGGCTGCGGGATGCTCTGCCTGCAGGTCTGCCCTCGTGGCTGTGAGGAGGAGAGGGCAGCCGGGGTGATGGCTCCCGGAGTGTGCATGGAGAGACAAGGGCTGGCATTGTGTGACCCATAATAGGGGTGAGCTGTTCATAGAGGGGGAAAAATGCTCATTGGTGGTGAGGGAGAGGGTGATATTTGGGCCTTGGGCAGCAAACCGCTGCCTCTTTTTATTTTGTTCTTTAATAGCAACATTATTGTAGTAATCCTCTCCTGGCACACAGCAGCACTTGGAGGATGCTGCGATTTGTGGCACGGCGTTGTGCCCCACGTGGGTGCACGGCTGTTGTTCTGCCAGCATGTTGGGCTCTGGGTGCAGCGCAGCCCCATCCTTGGGTCACAGCCCTGCTGGGGAGCTTGGAGGAGAGCTCTGGCATTGCTGCACTGCACCTCTGCGCAACGGCCGTATTTCAGGCTGGCAGTTCCCCATTGGGTTGCACAGGAGGGCGCAGCGCTGGCAGCCGAAGCGCGGCCGCTTTGGGGTGAAATGTGGCACCAGAGACACACAGTCTGGGACAGCAGCGCTCTGTGTGGGGCCGAGGGGGAGGAAGGAGCTGCCTGGAGGTGGAGGGCAGGGGCTGGAGCTCCCCGCCGTGGTTCTGGTCTTGCCCATGGGGCGCTCGTTGGTCACCGCTCCGTCACCTCTCCGTGTGTCACCCAACGCTGTCGGGCCCTGAGCACCGCCTCACTGTGCCTCGTGCCCAGCACTGCCTTCAGCTGTGGTGGATTTTGGTTGTGGAAAGGCGGAAGGTCCCACGTCACGTCACACATCCTCGGGTCAGCGTCCTCAGAAAGGAGCAGGGTGGAGTTTATAGTGCTGCCGGGGGAGGGGGGGGGGGGCTCCAGCCAGGCTGGCTGCGTTGCCCCCTCCCCATCTCAGCCATCGCATCGCTCCGGCCGCAGGCGGGCACACAAAGGCTGTGTTGTGTGAGCAGAATGAGCAGCGATTTCCCCTGCCAGCCCTGGGCGGTCGCGTGACCCCACAGCCGTTCCCACACCGTCCGCCCGCTCCTCCCAACCCCCTGCCCAGCACGGGGGTCACCTCCCCAGCACAGCCCCCTGCCCCGCTCCCCTTGTGTCCCCACAGCTGGCCGCTGCCACCCCGAAGCCCAAATTCTCCTTGGAGGTGGAGGGACCCCTCTGAAGCCTGCGGTCTGGAGGGGAAGGGGTACAGAAGCGCCAGGGGCTCCCATTGCAGCTCAGAGCCCTGGTGGCTGAGGTTCGGGGTTCCACCTGGACGCCCTGTAGCTCTGGGGTCGGGGCACCTCTCCCCAAAGTGCCCTCAGCCCCTGGGTGGCTGTTCCCCCTCCAAACCGACGCCTCTCCTTCTGGATAACCCGCAAATCGCAGGCTGTGAGTTCGAATCCCACTGCAGAAGCTCCTTTCTCCTTCGGATCAATAAAGTTCTTTAAAAACCACCTTGGTGAGGAGCTTCTCAGGACTCCTGCAGTGTGCGTGTTGGGCAGCGGGCTGGGGAGCAGCGCTGCACCCATTTTACAGAGCCAGAGGGTGCGAGACGTTGGGTCGGCAGGGTCGGCTCCTGCTGTTGGGCTGCGTCGTGCCTCACCTTGGGGTGATGGAGAGCATCCCTTGGGGAGCAGCCTGCTGCTGGGCGTGCTCTGGGTTCTTCAGCCGCTGGAGGGGTCGGGTGCTGAATGTGGGCACGGTTTAACGGGCAAACGGTGGTGGTTGGACTGAATGAGCATGGATGAATGACGATGCTACGATCCTACAAACGGAGCGGATCCGTTTCCTCGGTGTTGGAGCACCTGTGAGTCATTGCCTTTCTTCTCTCCGCAGCCTTTCGCATCCACGATGGCGGGCGGCGTGGACGGCCCCATAGGGATCCCATTCCCCGATCACAGCAGCGACATCCTCAGCAGTCTGAACGAGCAGCGAAACAACGGGCTGCTGTGCGACGTGGTCATCTTGGTGGAAGGCCAGGAGTTCCCCACCCACCGCTCCGTCCTGGCGGCCTGCAGCCAGTACTTTAAGAAGCTCTTCACCTCAGGGTTAGTGGTGGACCAGCAAAACGTGTATGAGATTGACTTTGTGAGCGCCGACGCCTTGTCGGCTCTGCTGGAGTTCGCCTACACCGCGACCCTTACAGTCAGCACTTCCAACGTCAACGACATCCTCAACGCCGCCAAACTGCTGGAGATCCCGGCGGTGAGGGATGTTTGCACGGATCTCCTGGACAGGAAGATTCTGGCCAAAAATGACCAGATGGATATAGTAGATCAAATTGATCAAAGGAACCATCTCAGAGCAAAAGAGTACCTGGAGTTCTTCCAGAGCAACCCCGTCAACGGCCACCAAGGCAGCTTTCCGTGGACCAACCCGGAGTTGAGAGACCTTCAGAGACTCAACTTCCGAGGCCAAGAGGACGAGGAGGAGACGGACTGCAACGGCTTGGACTTCTATTCGCAAGCCTCCCTCAACGAAAGACCAAAGGCGAATGACTGTGATCCCGACAGCAACTCGGCCATGTGGCTGGACAGAGAGGAGGAGGAGGCGGCGGCCGCCCCTGGCTCCTTGTTCTCACCTTCTCAGAACGGACATTACAGCGGCCGAAGCCTGGGCACGCCAGGAGAAGAGGAGGTGGCTCCCGGGGCCGCCCTGGACCAGCAGGACGCCGGCGACTCCCCCAGCTTCGTCCCCACCGGAGCGGAGACGGAGGATGATGGCAGGGATGTGGACGGGTTGGCTGCCAGCGTGCTGCAGCAGGTGATCAGCTCGGTGGGGAGGCAGCAGCTCGGGGACGACGAGCGCAAGGACGACGACGGAGTCGTGGATTATTACTTGAAATACTTTGGCAGTTCGAACGAGAGCGACGTGTATCCGTCCTGGTCCCAAAAGGTGGAGAAGAAGATCAGGGCAAAAGCATTCCAAAAGTGCCCCATCTGTGCTAAAGTGATCCAGGGGGCTGGCAAGCTGCCGCGCCACATCCGCACCCACACCGGCGAGAAGCCCTACGAGTGCAACATCTGCAACGTGCGCTTCACCAGGTAAGGGAGAGCGGTGCGTGCGGTGATGCCATGCTTGCGTCGCGGCAGGAAGGCGTTCAGAGGCGCCTCCATCTCACGATGGAAACGTCGGTGGCCTCGCCGGGTGCTTGGGGATGGGTTTGTGCCCACCTGGCTCCAAACAAACCCCACAGCTCCTCGGGCGCCGCTTGCAGCCAGCAACCAACCTGCTGTGGGATCGCTGGGTCGTGGGCTGTGGTCGGGGTTCCTCTGGGTCGCCCCGGCCTTCCAGCACGTCCTCTTTCCATTCCTCACGTCCTCCATCGCCGGCCGAGGGCGGGGGTTCCGCGCCGTGCCAGGAGATGCGTGGGCTGCAGTAGGAGCCGCCAAATGGCCCAGCCTGCTCCGCTCCGCTCCTCTCTCCTCTGCTCTGCTCTGCTCTGCTTGCTGCTCACCTCCTCAACGCCTGGGCAGGACTGAGCTGCTTCCCAGCAGTGCGGGCCATTCCCAGCCCTGCAGACATCGCGGGCCGGAGCGGGTGACAGCAGGACGCGGGGCTGCTCTGTGAGCCTTCCACCTGCCAGCCTTGTCCCCTCTGCACCCTGAGAGCCATGCGGGGCCGCACCCGGGCGGCCGGGGACCCACGTTTGATAGCTGAGGAATGCAGATAATGCCGGGGCGGGATGCCAGCCCTGCAGCACGGCTCACTGCCCTGCCAACCACCGCCGCCCTGCCCACGGCGGGGGGGCCGGGGGCTGCCTGCACTTTGTGTGCCCGCACCCAGGTTCCGGCTGCCACACCTGAGCAGTTCAAGGTCCTCGCGTTCCCCCCCTCCTCCCCACCCCCTGGGTTGTGGCCTCATGGAAGTGCCACAGAGCACAGGCTGGCACGGGGGGGGGGGGGGGGCTGTGCCATGGGACGGGTTGGGGTTCGTTTGGTGGCGGGGGGTTTTGAGGAGCCGATGGCATCGCTGCTGCAATTCTGTGTGCTGCCTTCACCCCTCTGCCTTCATCCCGCTGCCCTCACCTCCATCATCCTTCTACCTTCCCCCTACTACCTTCCCCATCGTGTCTTCACCCTTCCACCGCCCTCCCTGCTGCCCACCAACTCGCAGGAGGCATTGGTTCATTGCAAGCAGAGATGCGGGTGGAAGCTGTGCCTTCACCCCAGCCTGAACGTGGCCATAACGCATCGGGGCCCTGCTGGTTTCAAGCTAAAATACGCCCTCCTGCACTGCCTCCAGCTTGTGGGAGGCTGCGTTTGGCCACACAGAGCCCCAGTGGGCGCAGTCTGAGGCAGCCAAGCCTGAACATCTGGATTTCCCTTCCAGTGTTGCTCTTCTCCCCTCTCCGTTCATCCTTCTCTGTCACAGTTTGCCTGCTGCAAACCCCCTCCTGCCCTTCATGGCCCGGGGCTGTGCTGGGAGCCGTGAGCCCTGGCGTGGGGCAGAGGTGCAGGGATGGGGGGATGGAGCTGTGCCCGCTGGGTGGGGAGGGATCTCCCACAGCTTTGTGCTGATTTTTGCTTGCTTTGCTTCCTGGTTCCTCTGTGCCCGGATGGGGAGGAGCCGCTCCGCTGATCTTTCAGGAAGGGTTTGATCAGAATTCAACTCGGAAAACCGCGTTGTTTGCTCTCAGCCTGGCCCGACTTCCCAGCTCCCTTTGGGAGCCTCAGGAGGACCGGCTGCATCCTCGAGGTTTCCATCCCTCCCTCCGTGCCAGGACGCCTCCTGGCCCTGCAGAGCCCTCCGGCTCAGGGGGGGCTTCATGCCGACCCCCGCTTTGCTCGCTGCCCGCTTTCCTCTGGGAAGAAGCCGAGTCCTGGCCTCGTGACGGTGAGGATGAGGATGAGGAGGAAGGCGTCCCCATCCCGCTGACCGCCCCGTGTCCTTTCTCTCCACGCAGGCAGGACAAGCTGAAGGTCCACATGCGGAAACACACGGGGGAGAAGCCCTACTTGTGCCAGCAGTGCGGAGCCGCGTTCGCTCACAACTACGACTTGAAGAACCACATGCGCGTGCACACCGGCCTGCGGCCCTACCAGTGCGACAGCTGCTTCAAGACTTTCGTCCGCTCTGACCACTTGCACAGGCACCTTAAAAAGGATGGCTGCAACGGCATCCCGTCCCGGAGGGGCCGACGGCCGCGGGTGAGAGATGCCGGGGGGCTGCCCACCCCTACGGGGAACCCCGAGGATGGAGGATTTCAAGGAGGTGGGGAGAGTCAGGAATCAGAGGACACCGTGCAGGGGAACGGCCAAGAGCAGCACTTTGAGGATAGTTCGACTACCGAAGCGTCGGGATTGAATGTAGCAGGAGGGTCGGCCGAGGGCAGCGCGCCAGGACTCTCCTAAACCAAAAACAAAACAAAACAAAACAAAACCAAACCCAACCAACCGACAAACCACCACAAACAACAACAAGAGAGGTGTCACAAAACCTAGTTAGTACTTTTTCCTCCAATTTTCTCTTTCGAGGTGTTTCTCTCTCCGTTTCCCCTCCCTTCCTTCCATTCCCCCCCCGGTTCCCCTCCACCTTCCCCCCCCCTTTTTTTTTTTGTTTTGTTTTTATTTTTTAAAGGAAAAAAGAAGCAAAAATAGGTCTGTCGACGACGTTCCCAATCTCCCCATGGCAGGCAGGGCTCCCCCAGTGCTGGTGGGACGGGCAGGCGGGGCGGGGATGGAGAGCGCATGGAAAGGAGCTTCCATGTAAAACCCAAAGCTTTATTTTGTGTCCGAATACACGTTAAAAAAAAAAAGAAAAAACAACGAAAAAAAAACAACAAAAAAAAAACACAAAAAAAAATCCGAGAGAAAAGACAAAAAAAAAAAAAAAAAAACCAACAAAAAAAACAAAGCGGCGAAACAAAATATATATATATATATTATTTCAGAGAGATATCTATTTAAAAAGAAAAAAAAAAAGAGGAAAACAAGCAAAAAAGAGACGTTTTAAAAAAGAAAGAAAAAAAGAAAAAAAAAAAAAGGCCAAGAGTGGAAAGGGGGCTTTTAGTTGGGGGGGGGGGGGGGGGGAGGGGTGCACGCGGTGCCTCGAGGGGCCGGCAGGGAGCGGCCCACCTAAAGCCCCCCCCCCCCCCAGCCCCCCAACCCCCCGCTCTGCCTGCAGGGCTGTCGGGAGCTGTTGGGGTGCAGCGTGGGGTTGGGGGCGGTTTGGTGTCGGGACGCCGTGCTGCAGCTCCGCGGAGCCTTGGGACGGATGCGTTTTGCACGGGGATCTCACGGCGCGGCCCCGAACCCCGAGGGCGGCTCTAAGCTCCTTAACCCAAAGTCTGTCCCCACCGTAGCCCTCGTCCCTGCACCCCCAACCCCCCCCCCCCCCCCCATAGCACCCAGGAACCCTCAGGAATGACACCCAGCCCGGTGCTGCGGTGCGGCCGGGCCGGGGCTGCCCCTGCCCCATATTTTTAGGCACTCGGTCAGAGCTGCAGTGTTCCCGCACGCCCAGAAAGCACCTAAAAATGGCAGATTCCTTTGAAAAAAGGTTATTTGAGGTCTCCCTTAAAGGGGAAGGAGGGTTTTGGCAGGAGGAGATGGGAGGGGCGAAGGCTGCGGCCGCGGCGGCTTTAAGGCCGTGCAGAGCGGCTCTGCGTCACCCCATGGCCGCTGTTCTGCGCCGCAGCCCGTTGCCCTTTTGGGGGCACCTTTCTCAGGGATGCAGGCCCGTCCCCAAAGGGACAAAGCCCTGTCCCCCAAGGGTACACAGCTCTGTTGGCAAAGGAGCACGGCTCTGTCCTGAAACGGACAAAGCCCTGTCCCCAAAGGGACGCAGCTCTGTCCTCCAAAAGATGCAGCCCCGTTCCCAAAGGGATGCGGCCCCGTTCCCAAAGGGACGCAGCTCTGTCCCCAAAAGGGATGCGGCCCCGTTCCCAAAGGGACGCAGCTCTGTCCCCAAAAGGGATGCGACCCTGTCCCCAACAAGATGCAGCCCCGTCCCCAAAGGGACACAGCCCTGTTTGAAAAGGGGCACAGCCCTGTCCCCAAAAAGGCACAGCTCTGTCTGCACTGGGGTTCAGCTCTGTCCCCAAAGGGACACAGCGCTGTCCCCAAAGGGATGCAGCTCCGTCCCCAAGGAGATGGTGCCCTTTTCCCAAAAGGACACAGCTCTGTCCTCCAAGAGATTCAGCCCCCCCCCCCCAAAAGGGACACAGCCCTGTCCCCAAAAAGGCACAGCTCTGCCTGAAGGGAGGCACAGCCCTGTCCCCAATGGGACGCAGCCTCTGTCCTTCAAAAGACGCAGCCCCATCCCAAAAGGACGCAGCTCTGTCCCCAAACAGAAGCAGCCCCATCCCCAAAGGGACTCAGCCCTGCCCCCAGAAAGACGCAGCTCTGCCTGGAAAGGGACGCAGCTCTGTCCCCAAAGAGATGCAGCCCTGTCCCCAAAGGGGCGACGATGGACGTGGGTGCGCCGTGCGTGCCCCCCCCGTGCAGAGGGCGATAGGAAGGCACCTTTCAGCCATTCACCTGTTTTCTAAATGCACATTTTGAGATGAAAAAAAAAAAGAGATTTTAAGTCCTTTTTATTTTGAAAGCACTTTTTAAGATTCTTTTTTTTTTCTTTTTTTTTTTTTTGCCTTTTTCTGTTTGTTTTTGTTTTTTTTTTTCCCTTTTGGTGTTTTGTTTTTTACTCTCAAAGCCAGAGCAGGTCGGGCCGAATGTATTTTGGAGAGGGAGTGAGAGGGGAGTGTGTGCTGGGGGAGGGCTGAGTGGTGGGGGGGGCTGGGGAGAGACGGATGTTTATTTAATGCAGAAAAAAAAAAGCAATAAAAATATATTAAAAAAACATTATTAAAAAAATAATAATAATAATAAAAAAAAAAAAACAAAGAAGTCTTAGCACTTTGCGATGGAACGGGTACTTTGAGATCACTTTATCTTAATTTAAACAAAAAAAAAAAAAAGCAAAAGCAAAACATGTTTACAAGTCGAAACCAACTTCTACGGAAAAAAAAAAAAAAAGATATTATTAAAAAAAAAAATCCTAAATTTATTTTTGTAAGAAAAAAAATGTGTATATATATATATATATATATATATTTAAAAGGAAAGAAAAAAACAAAACCAACGTAGGCAGAATCCGAGTTCTATTTCGTGGAGTAATAAAGGCTGAAAGGTGTCCAGTGAGAGGAACGATGCTAATTAGGTTCTGTGACGAGCCCTGCAGAGCAGAGCCCTGGGAGTCGTTGCACTTCACCAAACGGAAGCTTGAATTTTAGGCAGGAATCGTGGGTTTTGTTTCGTTTTTTGTGTATCGTTCATTTCTCCCCCTCCTTCCTCCCCCCACCCCCCCCAACCACCCCCTTTCTTTTTTTTGTTTTTTAATTTTTATTGTTATTATTATTAGCCTTTTTTTTTTTTTTTTTCTTTCTTTCTTTTTTGTTTTTTTTTTTCTGTCGTTTCTTTTTCAATGTTCCACAGCCAGTGCTGGGCCAGACGTGCGTCCCCCCGTTGCCCCCATTCTTGTCCCCGGTGCTGTGGGGCCGGAACCAGAGGCCTGGCGTCACTGGGACCAGCGCTGTGATCCTGCACCGTTGGGCCCAGAACCACGAACCCGTTGCCATCAGGCCTGGTGCCGTAGGCCCAGTATTTTGGGCCCGGTGCCATCGGGCCTGGTGCCGTAGGCCCGGTATTTTGGGCCTGGTGCCGTAGGCCTCTGAGTGCCACTGGGCCTGCTCTCATGGCCTGCTGCCATTGGGCCTGGTACTGCTGGGTCTGGCTCTGTGGGCCCGGTGCCGTAGGCCTCTGGGCCCGGCGCTGTTGGATCCGGTGCCGTAGGTCCAACACTGCTGAGCCCAGTACTGCAGGCCTGATCTGGGCCCATTGCTGTTGTGTTGGGAACCATTGGCCCGGTACCAGCAGGACCAGCACCGCGGGCCTGGCTCTACTGGGCCCGGTGCCGCAGGCCCAGTGCTGTTGGGCCTTTGGTGCCATTAGGCCTCTGGGCCCAGTGCTGTTGGGCCCGGCACCGTTGGCCCGGTGCTGCAGATGCAGCCTTTGGCCCCATTGCTGCCCCAGGCCCAGCAGCACGCAGCCATGGCGGGGGCTGCCAGCCCTATCTCTGCTCCAGGGCCACGTCTGGTGCGGCAGATAACAGCCCCCCCCCCCCCCCCCCCCGCCCCGGAACGCGTTGGGGTCCCTCCCGGTCCTCACCCCCTCCCCCCCCCCGTCCCCACGATGGCAGCGAGTGCCTTGGCTGGACGTCCCCGCAAAAGGGACGGGGACGCAGGGCCGACCCTCTGCTCAGTGCTGGCATATGCAAAAACTCGCGCGGACGTGTAAATAGAGTTACTTGAGGTTCTTCTTGTAATCGAGTCGTGGTATCTTTTCTAGTTCGTGTCACTGCTCCTCTTTGTCCCCCACCTCTCCTCGGCCCCAAAGGAACGTTGCGACGCTTTGCGTTTCTCCCTCCGCCACTCGGGAAACAAAACCCCCAACGCCCTCCTCCCCTCCCCTCCCTCCCCCCGAAGGCAAAAAGGAGGAAAAGAAACAAACAAAAAAAGGAGAAAACGATAAAAAAAAAAAAAGAGAAACGAGCAGAGAGAGGTTGTGTGTATTTGTGTGTGTGTGCGTTAGACTCAGGATGCCCACGGATGGAGCGCCGGACACTACGCCGACCGCGCCGCCGGACGGACGCACCGTTTGCTGGCAACACTTTAGCACAAGTTGGAAGTTTGCACTAAAATAAAAACAGAAAAAATAAAGGAAAAAAAACAAGCAAAAAAAAAAAGAGGGAGAAAAGTAAAGAAAGGAACGGGAAGGAGAGGAAGAAAAAGGAGGGAGGAAAAGAGGGAGAAAAAAAGAGACGAGGCGATGGAAAAAGAGATGAAATGGGGGGGGAAGAAATGAGTGGAAATATGGAAAAGGTTCGGGGGAAATTAAGTGGGGAATAAAGGAGCGGAGGGAAAGCAAAAATTAGAGAAGGGGAAAAGGAGGGAAAAAAATCAGGAAAAAAATAAGAATGGATGTAAGGTTAAAAAAATTGGGGAAATATTGGGGAAAAATTGGAAAAAAATTGGGAAAAAATTTGGAAAAAAATTTGGAAAAAAATTTGGAAAAAAATTAGGAAAAAAAATTAGGAAAAAAAGTTAGAAAGTAAAATAGAAAAAAAATAAGGATTAAAAAAAATAAGAAAAACAACAACAAAAAAAGGAAAAAGGAGAAAAGGAGGAAAGGAGGAAAGGAGGAAAGGAGGAAAGGAGGAAAGGAGGAAAGGCTGCAGGCCGGAGGCGGCGCTGCGCTGTGATAAAGTGTTGCCAAAGAGACGGAAATGAACGAGAAATGAATGGAGTGCAGGGGGGGATGGGGGGGGGGGCAGTAAAAAAATGCAACAGAAACGGGAGGAAAAATGGATTTCTGCCCGTTTTGGTACAAAGAGGGGAAAAACGGAGACCCCGAATGCCCCCCTATGGCGGCGGTTGGGGGG